GGGTGAACAGAGTCTTGGGAAGAGAATCAGTAGCTGGGATAGGCATGTGCAGCAGGACAGAGCAGATTTGGAGGATAAGTCAGAAAGCAGTGTTTCCAGGATTTCTCTTATACCACAATTTACACAACAGCAAGTTTCCCATTTCAGTGAACCCTGGCTCACTGGAAAGCAAGCCTATGAAAACAAGTCTTTGTATCACACCAAGACTCAAGCAGCCCTCCTCCTGCCTACCCCGGTGAAAGCCTCTCCTTTCAAGCATGCTGTAAGAGAAAGCGCCTTGGAGCCCACCCCCAATTAAACGCAGTAGGAGAGAGAGAGAGAGAGAGAGAGAGAGAGAGAGAGAGAGAGAAGTTAGTTCCAGAACACTCACCCCCACCTTATCCTGCACTCGGATTCTAAAGAAAAGATATGTAAGGAGAGCTGAATTTATCCCTTTACTGACTGTCTCATCTAGCATGATGCTTCATGTTGTCCAGAGGACTTTTCGAACAACACTGTCCCCCAAGATTCTGACATGCTTGCTGAAGGGAGATGCTGCCCCATCCTGAAATCAGGATGAGGATGCGAACCATGGCTTTTTTTTTTTTTTTTTTGGTTTTTCGAGACAGGGTTTCTCTGTGGTTTTGGAGCCTGTCCTGGAACTAGCTCTTGTAGACCAGGCTGGTCTCGAACTCACAGAGATCCGCCTACCTCTGCCTCCCGAGTGCTGGGATTAAAGGCTTGGCTTTTTTTTTTTTTTCGAGACAGGGTTTCTCCGTAGCTTTTGGTTCCTGTCCTGGAACTAGCTCTTCTAGACCAGGCTGGCCTCGAACTCACAGAGATCCGCCTGCCTCTGCCTCCCGAGTGCTGGGATTAAAGGTGTGCGCCACCACCGACCGGCAACCATGGCTTTTCTTGAGACTGTATCATTCTTTTTACTTTCTCTCCCACCCCCTACGCCCCAGACAGGGCTTCTCTGTGTAACCGCCCTAGCTGTCCTGGAACTAGCTCTTGTAGATCAGGCTGGCCTCGAACTCACAGTGATCTGCCTGCCTCTGCCTTCCAAGTGCTGGGATTAAAGGCATGCACCGCCACCGCCCAGCGAGTGTATCACTCTTTCAGGCTTGCTGAGATGTGAACTAGACTGAGAACCACGGTGTCCGTGACCGCACCAAGAATTAACAGGCAGGTAAGGTTCAAGAGTGCTTTTGGATTATACATTCACTTATCCATAAAAAAACAACGGATTTCGTTTGCGTGGTGGCACATGCCTATAATCCCAGCATTTGGAAAGTAGAGGCAGCAGGAAGATCGGGAACTCAAAGTCAAAGTCATCCTCGGCTACTTATTGGGGGGGGGGTGGGGAGACCTCTCTGGCATTGCACGTTGTTGCCAGACAGATTAACAAAGGGGATGCAGGTAGATGTCTGGATGCCTGTCTGGTACGGGAAGTATCTTGTAGGTGGAAAGGCTGCTATTCTGTTCTCTGCGAGGTCAATTTCCACTCCTCAAGGGGAAACGGTCACTGGGATGATGGTTTCGAAGGTGAAGGGAGGCAGCCACGGAGACCAAGAACCTACAACGATTCTGGGCTGCGGAAGATCTCGCGTGATTCCTCGAAAATCTCGGGATTACCGGGCAGGAAGTCAGAGGGCGGGCTCAGTGTGGCTTTAGGATTTCGAAACTACAAAGGAAGGAGGGGATTTGGCGGATTGAGCGTTGGAATCAAGAGCAAAGGAAGAAGCAGGATGAGGACTCTGACAGGAAAGGGGCCTGGAGCGCTTAAGCCAGCCGTTGCCAGGAAAACGGAGGTGGGCGAAGCTTAGTTTAACGAGGAGTGACGGGCGCTGGCGTCATCAGGGACAGTAGAGTTTCCGGTCAGGCTGCTTACAGGAGGCGTGACTTCCCTTTGACTGATAGGTCTTGAGAGCGGAGCTTGAAGCTGACTGGCCTAATTTGCTCTGTCCCCCCTCCCCCAGTCCTACCTCCACCTCCTTTGTATGCTCATCTCTCAGGAAAACTGTAGTCATGTGGGAGAATGTACCCAGCTAGTATTTGTCCTGAGAGAGCTTGTGATAGGCCCTATTGGTAACCCCACAGCATTTGAGAAACACTGAAATTAATAGGAAAAGAAGGAAAGTACACCCTCCTTAAATGACCTGCCAATCTTGGACGAGGCACTGTCTGCAGCGTACAGACAGTTCTGCTATAAAACATTCTTACAAATTTTATCTTGCACAGATTGCTTCCCAATGCACAGATTCCTCCCAAATGGATTCACCCTGCATTGATTCACCAATAAAGGTTCAAGGCTTCTTTTCAAGGCACTGCCGAAAAGTCAAAGCTTAGCTGATAAAAAAGCTACAACTGGCCTGGGGCTTTGGGGCTTGGATGAAGGCCTTGGCATGATTGGCAGGATGGAATGAAATTGAAACTGGTCACTAAGGGTTCCAAATTTAATCAAGAATGAAATTATTTCCTTATGTGCAAGTTATAAAACTCAAGTTTGGAAACTCATTAGTGGCCAACTTTTTGTTTTATTTTTAATAGCGTTCTGAAGACTGACCCTGGGCTGTGCACTTTAGGCAAGTACTCCATCACTGAGCTATACCCGGGCTTTTAATTTTTACTTCCAGACAATGTCTTACAGAGTGACCACTAGCACCTTTAGTAAAAGGTTTGTGGATAGTTGCGGACAGTTGGTTTTGCTAGTCTGTAAACAAATTGGGCCCAGGAGATATTCCTGAATGTCAAGGGAATCAGGTTTAGCAGCTGCCAGGTAAAAGGAAGCACAGTGGTGGGAGTCACAGCTCGGCTGGAGTCCTGCTACCAGTTTTCCCCGGTTTTGTCTGAGACAGGGCTTCTGTAGCCCTGGCTATACTGGAATTCACTCTGTAGACCAGACTGGCTTCAAACTGGGAGATCTACCTGCCACTGTCTCCTAAGTACTGAGATTAGAGGTTTACACCACCATGCCCAGCGTCTTGTTGCTGTTTTTATTTGGTATTTGAAACAGGGTCTCATGTAGTCCAGGATAGCCTCAAGCTTGCTATGTAGTCGAGGGTGACCTTAATTATCAGTCCTAGCCAGGTATGGTGATGAGTGTCTTTAAAATCCCAGCACGTGGGAGATAGAGGCAAGCAGATCTCTGTGAGTTCAAGATCAGCCTTGTTCTATACCATCTAGGGCTACATAGTGTCTCAGAAAAGAAAAAAATCCTTATCCTCCTGCCTCAACTCCCAAATGTGTTGATTACAGGAATGCGGCCCCATGACCACTGACTTGCAACTTTCTTAAAGTTGTCTCTAAACTCATGCCTTTTTTCCCCCTGGTTTTTCGAGAGAGGGAACTCATGTCTTTTCTAGGGAAGGTATAATATGCCCATCTTACAGGTTTCAGAGATCAAAAAGTGAATGACTGAAGGCAATTGGCTTCACTGAGCTGGCACCACACGGCAGGACTCAGGGAACAGAAGCTGCTGTCAACACTTTTGCTTACCCAGGACAAGGGACCCAGGCTCACTTGCTGTGGGATCATCTAGCCCTAAGATTTCACCCAACCACTTATTAAAAGCTGAAAGAGGGACATGGGTGGCGGGGAGCTGTTTCTTTGCAAGGAGTGGGGTATGGATTTTTAAATAGGTTTATTCATGTTTATTCCTTATATCTAGCAAAGCTAAGATTCCAAGAAAGAAAGCAATAGTAAATGGTTCTTCCTCACCAAATACAGGCACAAGTTTCCTCCTCATCTTCTCCAAGGTAGGAAAATGTGTCATAAAAGTAAGGAGGCTGCCAAGATAGCTCACGGGATAAAGGCGCTTTTTACCAAGCTTGGCAACCTGGCCCAAGTGTAGAAAGAAAGAAATGATTCCTGAAAGTCAAGTCCTCTGACACACACACACGCACACACACATGCATACACACACACACACGCATACACGTACATGCAGACTGAGGAGCTCTGGGTCATGAATGGGAAGGGATAACTTTCAGAGGCTCCTGCAGGTCAGTTTCCATGGTGAACTGGTAAGGACAGATGTGCTGGTTCCCTGACAGCTTCACTTGGGTGAAACAGGCAGCTGTTGGCCTCCTTTCCCCTCTCTGAAGATTTCCTAGAGACCAGAGGTCACCACCCCATGCCAAATTCCTCAAAGAAACTAAGACGTCAAGAGCTTGGGTTCATAAATATGTGGGCAGCCCTCTCAGTGGAGAAAGAAGATAAGCTTCCATCTTCGAGGCACTAGGTGCCAGCCAGTCAGAGGACCCATTTTGTGAGCTCAGAGAGCCCTCTGCTGGGAGATGAGGCTCCGCACAGGAAGAGTTTGGGGGAAGGGAAGATAAAGCTGAAGAAAGAAAGGTAGGAGAATCTCCTGAACACTTCCCTAGACACTTGGGACATGAAACAAGTACAGATCAAAAACTAGACAGGATTGCAGTTTATTGACACCATGCCATGACAGCTGTTGACACTGGAGAAGGCGGTTAGCGAGAGCAGGAGAGTCGTCTCAGTGGACCTCACTGGGACCTTTTCACCCCTCCCATTTACCCTTTCAGCTAGAGGTCATGGATTCAGAGTGGAGATCTAATTCTACACCCTGAAGTCACTACCACCCATGCCATTCCTAAACCCATCTTCCATTTGGTCCATCAATTGAGGCCTGGGCCCTTCCTCTTCTTCAAAATAAGGGCAGAGGGAAAACAGAGCCATGTGTCAAGAAATAGATGGGTTGCTGGCTGTGGTGGCACTTTTAATACCAGTACTTGGGAGGCAGAGGCAAGCAGATTTCTGAGTTTGAAGCCAGCCTGGTCTACAGTGTGAGTTCCAGAATAGCCAGGGCTACACAGAGAAACCCTGTCTGAAAAAAAAACAAACAAAGGAGGAGGAGGAGGAAAAAAAAAAGAAAGAGAGCCGGGTGGTGATGGCACACACCTTTAATCTCAGCACCCAGGAGGCAGAGGCAGGTGGATCTCTGTGAGTTCGAGGCCAGCCTGGTCTAAAAGAGCTAGTTTCAGGACAGGCTCCAAAGCTACAGAGAAACCTTGTCTCGAAAAACCAGGAATAAAAGAGGAAGAAGAAGAAAGAAAAGAAAGGAGAGAGAGAGAGAAGAACTGGGACGGGATGTAGCTCCGTGGTAGAGCATTTGCCTGGCATATGTGAAGCCCCGAGGTCTTCCAGAGAGACTGGCAGCTGGAGAAGAAGGAGCTGAGGTGGGGAGTGGTGAATGTCTAAGAAGGGTCAATGAAGCACAGACTTTCCTGTCTTGAGATTGTACGCTGGAGGCCTGCCTGTGTTTGAAGCACCATTTCCACATCAGTCCCCCTACAAGTGGGTTTGGGTGGTGGCCGTTCCTGAAGGGGAATGCTTGTTCTGCCTGGGTGACTTCCTGATTAGGGAAAGAACTGGAATTGTGGGATTTCTGTCTGAGTCATGACATCAGAACAGACCAAGAGCGCCTAAAACGATCCCTAAAAGCACCCACATTGCCGTGTGGAGGGCAGTGCAGGCTACCGACATCCCTTCGTTCCTCTAGAAGAGAAGAGAGGACCGGAGCCATTCAAGGATGCGGGGCACAGCAGGCATGAGCCCCATGCCTCCCTAATCCCAACACTGCCAGCCCAGATTCCGGAGTCAGCTGAAGGATTAGATTCTATTTGGCTTGCTGGTGGCCTTCAGTCTGTGTTCTGGGATCCAGAAGGGTAATGGGCTATTGGAAATGTTTTGGCCAGAGAAACAGTTTAGGGAAGGAAGTATCATCTATAACCTGGCTTGCCGCTAGGTGGGCAGGAGACTAGCGAGGGAAGCCAAATATTAAGACATCCTAGAACAGCCTATCTGTTCTTGGCTTCCAGGACCAAATACATAAACACTTCCATGTGTTGCATATGTAGGTGGGCGCACACACGAGCCCAGGAGGGTTTTGTGACTTGAAACCAGAGAGGAGAGAAGGGCCTTATAGGGATGCCTCCTCCAGTCTAAGGGGTTGCTGGTCTCAGTGGCTGCTCCCCACCTCAAGCCCCCTGACCCGGAAGATAAAAAGTGTAACATTGTAAGGTTGCACCCAAGAAGCAGCCTAAGGAGGTAAGGAAAGAGGCAGAGCCTGGCTCCCTTCAGAGTCCCTTGTTGTAGTAAACCACATCGATGCTGGGGTTTTGCGCTTGGATCTCAGCTCTCAGCTCCGGCTCCAGCCTGGTCACGTGTATGGAGCTGCAACAGAATAGCACAGGCTGGATGAATGTACCCTGGGCTCAGCATCTTAGAAGCCAGATCTCAGGACCCGGCTTCCCCTCACTCCCAGGCGAAGAATCCTCTCACAAGGGCTGGCTCACTGTCATTCCCTCAGATCCTGCATCACCAGTGTGCCTACCAGGGGACACACTAAGGGCCAGAGATGTGAAGTTGTGCAGAGATTCTGGTCCAGCCCAAGGGCATCACTCACCTTCTCTGGGGGAACAGGGCACAGCACAGGGGTGTGGCAAATACCAGGCTAGGGAAGAAGAGCACAGAAAATGTCTGTGAAGCTGAGCATTTCCTCCCTGGACCCCGCCTCATGCAAACAGCCCAGGAGTGAAGGCTTTTTTTGGGGGGGGGGCTTTATCCCAACTGTAAAGGTTGAAAGTGGAGCCAAAGGACCATTCGGGGATGTTAAACTCAGTCCTGATGTTAGATTCTTGACGAGGAGAGAGCCTCAAGAGCATTGATCCAAAGCCCTAGGACTAAGTGACAGAATCAGAGATAAAATGGGCTGGACCTCTTGGACTGTGACAGAGTTTATGTGCCTGGCTTCCTCTAATGAATAAAGACTGAACCCCTCACCCAAACTATTGCTCTTCAAAGGCAAGAACCCCTAGGACTCACACACACACACACACACACACACACACACACACACACACACACGTGTATTATGCACTATGGGTATCTTTACGAACGGGATGTATGACAGAGCAATATATGTAAGAACCTCAAAGGTAGTAAGTGCCCTCCGCACCCAAATGATAAAGACTCTTCCATGGGCCCTCATTAAACCCGTTCACACTTACCAGAAGCCTACCAGTCCCACCTGCAGGGGAGCCCCCAACCAGGGGCGGCGCTGTGGGGAGATAGAGAGACAACAGAATGGTTTGTGTCCCCATTTTTCTAACCTCCATCTAGGTTTTCCCCACCATGGTTTTAGCCCATCAACCTTACCTCTGAGTCCGTGAACATTTGGATGTTTCTCCCAGCCAGTGACAGGCTGGGACCTGCATTCGGCACCTCCTACCCCCGCCAGACTTCTGCCTATCCCTTTGTATGTTCTTGCCTCTTGGGATTGGTTCCCATGGCAATCTCTGACCCTGACTCTCTCTCATCTCACTGTCTCCAGGAGCTACTTTCTTCAGGAAGCCTCCCCAGAGTCTCCACTCACTTCCTGTCATCCCCAGGGGCAGACACATGTCTCTCTCCACACCTTCTCCATCCACTTCAGCCACAGTGACCACTGCTCTGTTCTTCAAATGTGTCAGCCCATCCCTGCCCAGGGCCTTGCCTCTAGCTCTTCTCTCTTCCTGAAACACTCTTTCCCAGGCTCTCCTTATTCTTTGGATCATCCAAGGCCTATCCTTGTCTAAACTCTTCCCCAGATAGTCTCAATTATAACGCCCCACTGATTTCTTACAAAGCACATTTCATAACTACAATGATATGTTTATTAGTTTTTTGTTTCATTGTTTTGTTTTTTGAGACAAGGTCTCACTGGGTAACTCTGGCTGACCTGGAACTTACTATGTAGACCAAGCTGGCCTCAAACTTACAGAGATTTACCTGCCTCTGCTTCCAGAGTGCTGGGATGAAAGGTGTGCACCCACCGGGTCCAGATCTATTGCTTATTCCTTTGTTTGTTGGTTTCTGTATTATACTGTACGCCTCATGGGGACAGGGTCTACGACCATCTTAGTTCTGTTTAACATGTCTGGTGCGGTTGGTGCTTAATTTTGATATGCTAATAAATGACTCAATGAACGAGCTGGAGCCTGTATTCCTGAGCCTTGCTACCCTATCTTGTTTGTGCATTCATGACAATGTATGTCTCCCTCTTAGTGGGAGACACAGTGGTGGCATCATTAATACGCAATCAAGTATGGCAATGACAGTCATCGATGTGTATGTCGGAAACCTCTGGACAGGCCAGGTAAGAGGTGAGTTTCTTACCTTCAGGAAGTCTTTCTTCTCCAGAGCATTCATGATCACTGGGGGAATGGCTGAGCGGAGAGTCAGGCAATGAGAGTTAGAGAAGTGGACTCTGGGAACCTGAGGGAAGGCCGCCCTCCCAGCCCCCATTCTTCCCAGACTTGCCGACTCTGACTTGTCAAAATAAACCCTGAGAACCTTGACCCCTCTTCTCTCCCAGCCTCCCAAGCTCCACCCGCCATCCCCGCCTCACCCATGGCAGGAATCGCCATGCCGATTCTCGATATCACCACCTGGAAGATTCCCTGTTTGGCAGCAGTCACCGAGTGGCCAAGCCTCTGACCAGCCTCATCCGTCACTGGGATGCCCACCTGCAGCTCCCTAAGAAGAGAAAGAAACTCAGGTCAGATGATAGGTTGCGGATCTCTGGAGACCCCTTAGCTTCCCCACTCAAAGGCTGGTTCTGAACAGCTCCCAGGCTGTAGGGTAGAGCCCAGAGAGAAGCAGACAGCTCCCAGGCTGTAGGGTAGAGCCCAGAGAGAAGCAGACAGGTGTTGTGCTAGCTCCACCCAGCCAGGGAGCAGGGTAGGGGGTGGAAATGTTGGTCACTCAGTGTGGGTTGAAGAAAATGAGTTTGGGGAGGAGCCTGGGGTATCAGGTAATTTCCAGAGTATTGGAATCCAGCATGACAGGGACAGTTATCTTGAGTCATAACTACTATAAATGACCCTGAGTAGCCAGGTGGAATTTCTCTACACAGCATTCCAGATTAGTATAAACGAAACTATTAAGGATGTTGTTTGAGCCGATTATTTAATCCCAGCACTCAGAAGGCAAAGGCAAGAGATCTCTGTGAGTTCAAGGCTAGCCTGGTCTACATTGTGAGTTCCAGGACTATACAGAGAAACCCTATCTCAAAAAAAAAAAAATAAATTAAAAAAAAACTTATTGGGCTTTATGACCAGGACCCTGGTGCCACCACTGCCAGAAATGTGATTTTCTTCATGGTAGCATAAGACACATCAGCGTACATTTTTGCCTATTGTCATCCTGACTATCATATTTACACCACTTCTTCTCACTCAGGACATGAGGCTGCCAGCACCAAGCCTCATCAGCAAGTTTTCAGTGAAGAGTCCTCTGTGAACCTGTGGGTCTGCCTGCACCCTTCAGTCTTGCCACACCTTGGGGAAAGTTCTCACACAGTGGGACCTGGTGGTTCTTGAACAAGGGTCAGTATAAGCCAGAGTCCAGAAGCTCCATCAGTGATAGAGAGGACTCTCCCTGTACCTGGCTGGTCTGCAGAAGTCAAGGACATCTGGACATCGGAAGCCAGGGCCACTCACCTCTGCCTCATCAAGGGGATGTTGATGCAGTTGGCAGCGGCCACAGCTGCGAAGGGTACAAATCGGCCAACTAGTGGTGGCAGGTGCTGGGGGAAGAAAGACGGTGTTCAGAGCTCCGAGGACCACAGGATGGGGAGGGGAGAAGGAAATGGGTAAAGGGTTAATGAGAGACCAGTAGTGGTAGCAAGACTTTACCTTGGTGAGAGATTTGAGTCCCAGAGCAGTGGCCACGGCCCCAGTGGTGGCACTCACATAGGCTGTTCCCAGCTGCCTGTAGAGGAAAAGGCCAGATCACAAGGAGAGATAGGAGTCCAGCATGCATTTTCTTTAAGGGACACTAGACATTTCCAATGCAGGGGGTGTCAGAGAGTAGCCTCACTGAAATCCCCACCCCCTGCTCCAGTGGAAACTTGGGTGAAAGTCCTCCTCCTCCTTTAAAAGGAGAGTGGGTCCCCCAAAAGAGATACAAAAGGACTGAGTGCCCTCAGGTGGTAGTCGAACATGTAGTAGAAAGGAGAGCTGAGCCCCTGGCACAGGGGTCCACAAGGACCAGGAAGAGCTGGGGAGGGGGCTCTCACCGCACGGTGATGGGAGCATCCCCACTGCGATTGGAGTAATTCACAATAGCGTTGAAGGACTGGTTCACCCACTGCCAGAACACCACAGTCGGCGTCTTCCTGAGGGTGCAAAGATAGACCACTTTTATCTGTTCCTCTACAGTAGTCTCCCATTCTTGAACCCCCAATATTGAATTACTTTTTATTTTTTTATTTTTATGTGCATTGTGTTTGACCTGCATGTGTGCGTGAGGAAGTCAGACCCACTGGAACCTGAGTTACAGACAGTTGTGAGCTGCCATGTGGCTGCTGGGAACTGAACCCCGGTCCTCTGGACAACCAGCCAATGCTCTTAGCCACTGAACCATCTCTCCAGCCCCCGAGCCCCCAATACGGAAACCCTCAGAGTCCCTTAACTCCTCAAGAGGGACTTAAGTGGTGGTCCCAGAACTTGCTCTTGCCACCCTCACAGGTACACCTAATACAAATGGAGGCTGGGTTCTGAGAAATGGGAAGAATTCTTACATACCCCCCCGACACACACACACGCACACACGCACGTGCGCGCGTGCACACACACGCACACGCGTGCACACTGTTCTTTACCCAAAAAGGAGCAAAAAGGAGACTTCTAGTCACCCAACCATGTTCTGGGCCACCACCCGCAGGAAGGAGACATGGATAAGTCTTACCTATAGAAGGTGAGCATGCAGCCAGTAATGGTCATGTTCATGGGCACCTGGGCTGACATGCGGCCAATCAAGACCACCTTCTCCCCTGTGTCTGGATGGAAGGCGGAGTCGTACACATACTTGGCTCTCCACAGCTGGTCCTCGGTGAGCCCCGGGGTTGCCACACCAGCCCTGCAGAAATTGGCAAAGAACCAGCAGGTTGTTTGTTGTAGGGATCAAACCTGCCCTTCCTGTCTCTGCTGCTTGCCTCGGGGAACTCCAGGCGATGGACCAGGAACTTTGGCACTCAACCCCAGAGTAAACGAGCTCCCTGTCCATGGGGGAAGTCAAAACCTCTCACATGTGCACTTTGCTCTTTCTACATCTTTTGTGGTCCCGCATTTTCTCCAGGTCACAATGATAGTGGTTTTCAAAGGGTCTGAAAGGCCGGGCGGTGGTGGCGCACGCCTTTAATCCCAGCACTCGGGAGGCAGAGGCAGGCGGATCTCTGTGAGTTCGAGGCCAGCCTGGTCTACAAGAGCTAGTTCCAGGACAGGAACCAAAAGCTACGGAGAAACCCTGTCTCGAAAAATCAAAAAAAAAAAAGGGGGGGGGGTCTGAAAGGACTGGGGGGGGGGCATTCCAAGAGTTAAACCTCCTGAAGAGAAGAGGATTACTGCCTGTCTATCTGCTTGGGACTCTCCTTTGGGCCCTTGTCCTTGCAGAATGGACAGCACTGGGAATGGTCACTGAAGAGGATCTGTGAACTGCAGAGCTACTGCCTACCCATAAATCCAATGCCATCTCCTCAGCCCAAATGTCCCAAAGTCCTTTGAGCTAAAGTGCTGTGTCACTGCCATCTGGTTTGAGGCAGGCTTACCTGTAATTCTGCACGATGTTGCGGGAAGCTTCCAGCTGGTCCCCAGACAACAGCAGATTTCGAGGGTCAGTAACAGTGAAGAAGTGCCGGGCTCTGCCTAGAAATGTGCTTTGGTCCCATCGAGGTTCCTGGATGTTGATATCTAAGGGCAAGTCCCCCATCTTCTGCAGGGCAGCAAGAACAAAGACCAAGTCAAGGACTTCACTTGGGGAAAACCTTGGTGGCTCTGCCCTGGTTCCAGAAACTGTGACCGATCCTTGCAAGGGCTCAAGGTGACTCCAGAGAGGAAAATCAAGGGGAGGGGAGGAGTTGCTTCCTAGGTAGTGTTTTAGCCAGGGACCTATAGGTACTGAGGAGGGGGAGGAAAGACCGGAACCAAGAACACATATAGCCTTCCTCATGCTCTGGCCTGGTGCAGATCTTACATGGTGAGGATTTACACGTGTGTGGTTGTTCCAAGAGCAGCAACTAATCCGGAGCAGCTCTCTTGAGCTCCTGCTGTAGGAGCATAGAACACGGATAACACACCCAAGCCCATTTCAGCTTCAGATCCCGGCTGCCCTAAAGCCTAGATAAACACTTCCAAGGCTGTTTGGGAAGTTGACAAAAGCCATCCCACATTCAAGCCCCTGATTGGAGGAGAGCAGGATGGCTAGCCACCTGAGGGCTGATCAGTACCAGATCTCAGATGGAGCAACGGCAGCCATTCGTGAGTAGGAGGGCATGCACACATCCCCTTCGAACCCATTTGCTTCAGCTCCTGCACAACAACTCGGCCTCTCCCTCGTCCTAACCCATGCAACTCTCTCTGCTCAGGAAAGAGCAAGATTAAGTGAATGCCCCTCCACACAGCACAACAAAAAGAATGCCAGGAGCAGCCATCTGCCTGTGCTAGGCAAAAATCCTGCAGAATGACTAATCCCCTCCAACTCCACTTCCTCCCTCTCAGTAGACAACGCCCCTACCCGACTCTCACATACCCACACACAAAGACATGCACGCCCTCCCCGGGACACAAACAGGTTAGACCCACACTGTATACACTAGCCAATCAGCCAGAATACCGAGAGAGAGAGAGAGAGAGAGAGAGAGAGAGAGAGAGAGAGAGAGAGAGAGAGACTCAGTAATATCTATCAGATGCATTGAAAATAGACACAGAGCCTCACACAGCCACCTCCTCCTTGTGCCCTCCAGATCCTATGGAATCCCCCACAAGACAGAGAGCGCCTTTCAAGGCAAGCCTCCTCCTCCGACCCCAGGCCCTCAACCCTACGCTCTGAAGATTCCCAAGGCTGCAAAGCACTCACGCTTTCCGGGATTTTCAACCTCTAGCAGCTCTCAGACCCGCCTTCCTCACAGCTCTCTGCTTTCCTCCCATCCATCACCGGGACGTCACGGGTGACGCTGAGCAGCAGAAAAGGGCGGGGGCTTCCTCGGCTCCTTCGCCCAACCCGCCCCCGGCTTGGCAGAATTCCGGGGCAGTGGATGTCACATAAAGCGACTACCCCAGACCAGACCGTTGAGATCAGACCCGACCCAGTCTTTGGAAGCATTCTGGCCGCCTTCCCGACAAGAGAGAGGAGGGGAGGAGCCGTCCCACTAGCCTCCTTCGCTTGCAGTCCCTTGGCTTGCCTCCGGAGGCACCCGACCCGGCAGCACCCAGTCTAGGTGCACTGGGCACGGGTGAACGGCGTGGAGGGCGGGCCTCTGCTGGTGCGCCGCCTGGAGGGACTCGGGTTACTGCTTGTTTACTTGGTGGCTGCCTTGGCAATGGGACTCTGCCTGCTTGGCCCCCTGGTCGGCTACCCCAGGACCTCTCAGAATCTGGCCGAATCTCGCCATTCGCGTCCCTTTCCAGCCACATTCCTGTGGTGCCTGTGTTCCTTCTGTGTCCCCGGCCCTCTTTTGCCACCCAAACCCCAGCTCCATTGTGCCAGCAGTTGCCTTGCTCCCCCAACACTTATCCATGCACAGACTGAAGCTCCAGCCCCCGGGATGTGCACGGTCAGTTTCCCATGATCTCTGCCTGCATCCAAGCTGGCACATCAGAAAGATTCCTCTCCTCCTAGAGTGCTGGGATCAGCTGCTCTGTCTTGCGGACTTTCCAGAACAGAATGCCCAGAGAAGCACGTTTTCGACTCAGGATGTGAAGAATGCATCACACACACACACACACACACACACACACACACACACACACACACACCTCACCCATTAGCACCCAGAGCACGGCCGCAGCACATCCAGGCTCCAGCTTTCGTTCCTGCTTTCTCTCAGGTTCACGTTCGGCTCTTTTACTTGTGACATTCTCCCACAGAGACCAGAGTCAGGAGTGACTACGAAAGAGGTGGCAATTTCCCGAGCCCCGGAAGGTAGGGTAGCCTGGAGAAGATGTGATTCTAGTCGCTAGTGCGGGGCTCCACAGCTGCCCGAGGTTCCAGCGACCGGTAGGGTTCAGAATTGGAGCAGACAGAGCCCAGAGTTAACAGGCAGGTGACGAGCTATAATCCCGACTGGCTCCCAAAGGTGCCAGGAAAGAACGACTGGCGTTCTCGGCAGCCAATGGGATCCCAGGACCGTGCAGACCAGCCTTATTCCCGCAGTCGCACCGAGCGTGGGCGGGGTCCTTAGCTGGTTCAGTGTCTCAAGACCGCCTGCGGGTGAAGCAGGCATCTGCGAAAGCGACCAGGTGAGGGGGTCGAATCCTAGAGGTAGCGGGCCAGAGGGCCCACGGGGAGGGAAGGGGGCCACAGAGATGCTCTGGAGGACACGGCCCCTGGTTTGGCACTAGCTGATCGCCCAGTCATGGGATAGAGGGTTGCGGTGGCTTTAGTTCCACAACTGCAGCATGGAGCCTAGCAGTCACTTGGGGGTGGCGGTGGGGGCAAGCTCGGCTGCAGCTGTCCCAGGTCCTGAAGTCCAGCCCCTACCCATACACACATACACAGGAAAGATGCTGCAATAAACTGTCTTGAGACCCATTTTTCTCGCCCTTTTTAAAGTTCAAGAGCCTGCTGTAATCCCATCTCTACTCTCTGGAGGACTGGAGATGAGGTTGAGATTCAGTTGAGAGCAGCAAAGAGGGCTGAAAGAGAGCTTCCCAGTGGCCTTGTAGAAAAAGTTTCCATAATCTAAGATGGTTCTGAACTGGGCAGATTTCCTCTGGCTCCAGGGTGGTGAGGGGTCCACGTAATGAGAAGGCAGGATGTTCAAGGCCCGCTGAAATATGGAGTACTAAGACCACAGCACTCATGCCTCTCCCCCAAACCCAGATTTGAAAGCCACACTTCTAAGAAACACTGAGAGCGAGAGCTCCCATCCTCCTCACTGAGACTCCAGCCCTACAGAGGACGTTCATGGAGCTTGGAACGCCAACAGCCAACCTTCGGAGGACGAGCAGACTCCGTGTGGATCTGTAGGGCAATGCCCCAGCCTCACCACCATGGCACGTGGTTTCACAGTGGGCTTTGACCCATCGGGTCTAGGAGAACTGAGCTCTGGCTCTCTGAGCTCCCTCTCCTCCCGAGGCCATCTGGGCAGCGACTCGGGTGCCACAGCAACACGATACTTGCTGAGGAAGCAACAGCGCCTGCTGAATGGGCCCCCCCGCGGAATCCGAGCCTCATCACCCATGGGCCGAGTCATCCTCATCAACTCCCCCATTGAAGGTGGGTGTGGGGCCCAAGAATGGCTTTGATGGGGAGTTCTGAGGACAGCCAGGACCAATCAGGATGTGGGCTGGTGAGAGCCAGTATGGTTAGGGGAATTCAAGAGGTGGGAGACTTAGGGAAGGGGATCAGCTTTCATTTACCCTGTCTCTCCTCCAGCCAACATTTTCAGGCTTCAGGGCTATAGAAAGATCAGCAGTGGGAGATGGAACTATTTTGTAAGGAAAAGATATATGTTAGCCCTGGGAGTTAGCCCCTCTATCCCTTGAACTCTGTCTTTCTTCTGACCCATCTGTATGTACCGCAGGGAGTGGGCAGGATGGAGGAGATCTTCCACCAGTCAATCAATTATGTCACCAGCTCGTTACTGGATCAGTCAGTGCTGGAGAGTCAGTGGCCAGGCTTCAGGGTATGCGGGACGGGGCCAAGACACAGCATCATATGTTCAGAAAAAGGGAGGGGGGACCAACAGGAGGGCTGAGAGTCAGGAAGTGTACCCCAGAGCTGGGACCTTAGGAGAGAATGGTTGTGTACGGCTGCCTGGCACTACGATGTTGCATGCCAATTCTGATCTTTCCTGGTTAGGTCCTGCAGGGGACCTAGAGAAAAGCAGCTCAGTTTTCACCTTTCAGGAATGTGCAGCGTAGTCAAACTTAGAGGCACAGCAACAAGAACAGCTGGTGGGGGCTGTGTCATCCCCCACACGACTCGGAAGGGGAAAGCATGAAGCGTGATGGGCTGAGAGCTTGGGCGACCATGACAGATGTGAGGCAGCAAAGAGCCTGCGAGCAAGAGAGAGCCTTGAATGCCAGGAGGGGAGCAAGGCCCTGTGGGACGGGGCTCTCCATGGGCAGGACCAGATAAATATCTCCAACTCTTCTCCTCTTTCTTAGCCAGCACAGCTCCCCTGGCTGGATCCCAGAGCAGACTTTTCAGGCCTGGTGTTTCCTCTGATGGAGCTAGCACTCTCTGTCCCCTTACAAAGGCAGCTGGGCAGGGGTGGGGTGTGCTGCCCAGGTTACGGATGGCACACTCATTGACCACCGTAGGTCCGGTCCTCAGGCACCCACACTGCTGAAGTCACCACTGACATTCTGACCAGGAAGCAGAAGTCCCCAGAGGAGCGAAAAGGCAGGAGTCATGACCCTTTCTAAACAGCCCTTTTTCCTTTCCTAGATTGTTCGTTCATTTCTATGGTTCATTCGCACATCTGTTTATTTCCCCCAAAATATTTATCAGATAACTATGCACTGTGCAATATACTAGGGACATATTGGTGGGAAAGAACTACAAAGTCCCATGATTAAGCTTGCAGACTTCTGAAAGACAGTAAACAAATCACAAATAACAGTAAGATGCAAGATAAAAAATATTCTGAAGGAAAAATTATGGTGACCAATAGACATGAGAATGTTCCTAAAACTTTAGGGTAGGCTAGAATTGCCTGGGAGAGCTTACTAGAAGACAGATGGGGGCGCTGGTGAGACGGCTCCATGGGTAAGGGCACCTGCTGCCAAGCCTGATGACCCGAGCTTAATGCCCAGGACCCACATCGTACTAAAGAACTGATTTTTTTTTAAAGATTTATTTATTTATTATGTATGCAACATTCTGCCTCGATGTATGCCCACATGCCAGAGGAGGGCACCAGATCTCAGTACAGGTGGTTGTGAGCCACCATGTGGTTGCTGGGAATTGAACTCAGGACCTCTGGAAGAGCAGCCAGTGCTCTTAACCTCTGAGCCATCTCTCCAGCCCCCTAAAGAACTGATTTTAAAAGTAGTCCTCTGACTTCCACACATGGGCCATGACTTGCACATGTGCGGGTGCATAGACACATGCTAAGTAAATAAATAATTTTTAAAAAGATTGATGGGGGATGATTGAGGAGATGGTTCAGCAGTTAAGAGTACTGGCAGACGGGCTGGAGAGATGGCTCAGTGGTTAAGAGCATTGCCTGCTCTTCCAAAGGTCCTGAGTTCAATTCCCAGCAACCACATGGTGGCTCACAACCATCTGTAATGAGGTCTGGTGCCCTCTTCTGGCCTGGAGACATACACGCAAACAGAATATTGTATACATAATAAATAAATATATAAAAAAAAGAGTACTGGCAGAGTACTGAGTTCAATTCCCAGCACCTACATGGTGGCTCACAACCATCTATAATGGGATCAGAGCCCCTCTTCTGTCTACATGCAGAAAGAGCACTCCTATACATAAAATTCATAACTAAATATCTTTTTTTTTTTGGTTTCTCAAGGCAGAGTTTCTCTGTTTAGTTCTAGCTGTCCTGGAACTCACTCTGTAGACTAGGTTGGCCTTTGACTCAGAGATCCTCCTGCCTCTGCCTCCTGAGTGCTGGGATTAAAGGTGTGTACCACTACTGCCCAGCCTATAATTATTTTTTAAGATATTTATTTATCTGTCAAGCCAGGCATGGTGGCACACACCTTTAATCCCAACACTCAAGAGGCAGAGGCCTGCAGATCTCTATGGGTTCCAGGTCAGCCTGATCTACAGAGTTAGTTCCAGGACAGCCAAAGCTACATAGAAACCTTGTCATGAAAAACCAATATATATGCAATGGTAGAACACTTGCCAAGCATGTGCAAGGTCCCAAGCATCATACTCATAAAGTGGGGGGGGGGGGGAGGTGCAGAGAAGAAGGAGGGAGGGAAAAGGAAGGGAAAAGGGAGAGAAAGAGGGGGGGAGTAGGGAGTTTAAAACCTCAGATTAGAGACATTCAGAATTTTCTCTGTGTAACCCTGGCTGTCCTAGAACTCACAGTGTAGACCATATTGGCCTCAAACCCAGAGGTGTGTCTGTTCTGCCTCCCATGTGCTGGGATGAAAGGCATGGCTGGATTTTTATGTTTTATTTTATTGACATCCAAGATTTAAGCTGTGGAGTGAGTGGTTTAGCTGTTTTACTTTGCTTTTTTTTTTAAATATTTATTTATTATGTATACAATATTCTGCTTCCATGTGTGCCTGCAGGCCAGAAGAGGGCGCCAGATCTCATTACAGATGGTTGTGAGCCACCATGTGGTTGCTGGGAATTGAACTCAGGACCTTTGGAAGAGCAGGCAATGCTCTTAACCGCTGAGCCATCTCTCCAGCCCCTACTTTGCTTTTTTTAAAAAAACTTTTATTGTTTTTTTTTTTTGTGTGTAGAAAGGAGCTGTGGGCTGCATTCCTGCCACCCAGCTCCTGGCCTCCTGGCTAGCTTATGCCCCAAAATAACAACACAGAAATTGTATTCATATAAACACTGCCTGGCCCATTATATCTAGCCTTTTCTTGGCTAACTCTCATATCTTGCTTAACCCATATTTAGTAATCTGTGTAGCACCATGAGGTGGTAGCTTACCAGGAAGATTCTAGTGTATGTCCATTTTGGGCTGGAGCTTCATCGCATCTGGCTCCATGGCATCTGACCTCACTTCCCTTCTTCCCAGCATTCTGTTCTGTCTACTCCACCCACCTAAGGGCTGACCTATCAAATGGGCCAAGGCAGTTTCTTTATTAACCAATGAAATTAACTCCTCCATCAGTTTTGGTTTGGGGTGTTTTGTTTTGTTGTTGTTGTTGTTTTGTTTTGTTTTGTTTTGTTGTTATTGCTTTGGTTCAGTTTTTTTGAAACAGGGTTTTTCTGTGTGACAGCCCTGGATGTCCTGGAACACATTTTGTAGGCCAGGCTGGTCTCAGATGTTCAGAGATCCATCTACTCCTGCCTCCTGTGTACTGGAATTAAAGGTGTGAGCCACCACTGCCCAGCTCACTGTTGTTTCTTTTCTTTTTTATTTTATTTATTGTATATGGGTGCTCTATCTGCATGTATGCCTCAGATCCCAATATAGATGTTTGTGAGCCACCTGTGGGTGCTAGGAATTGAACTCAAGACCTCTACATGAGCAGCCATCTTAACCTCTAAGCCATCTCTCCAGCCCCTTGCTGTTGTTTCTTTTAAAGGTAGATTCTCACTGTCTGGTATTGCCTGGCATGTAGACCAGACCGGCTTCAATCCTACCTCAGTTTCAGAGTACTGAGCTTAGAGGAGAGGGGAGCTACACTGGCTTGTTTGCTTTGGAGACAAAGTTTCCTAGAGCTAACCGTGAATTCCCCATCCACAGGCTTCAGGCTTCTAGGTGATAAGATTTTATGTCTGGGCTGCTGTGCCTAGCTTTTAAATTTAAAACAAAACCCAAACAAACAAAAACTACAGCCATTGTGGTGGTGCCAACTCACCATTCCAGTGTTTGCAGTCGCCTCTTTAAGGTCAACATGGCCTACAGTAAAACTGTCTCAAAATGACAAGGCCTGGCTCCCCACTCTCAGGGCTACGAGTCTGCCAGGGAGCCCTCCAGGACTCTCATTTTAACAAGTTTTCCACTGATACAGGGTCTGCCACTGAGACTCATGTTCTGGTCCAAGCTTCTCAGAGAAAGTGATGTCTAAGATGAGAGGGGATGAGGAAAGAAACCACCCCCCCCCCGACACACACACCAAAGTCAAAGTATTTTAAAACTATTACAGGAGGAGACCATTTCTAGCTCATATGAGACAAAAAAAAAAAAAAAAAAAAAAAAAAAAGCCAGAGTGGAGGCTGGAGAGATGGCTCAGAGGTTAAGAGCATTGCCTGTTCTTCAAGAGGTCCTGAGTTTCCAACTAGTGAGAGTTTCCAACAAGAGATCTACAGTGAGATCTGATGCTCTCTTCTGGCATGCAAGCATGTATGCATGTAGTCAGAAAACTGTATACGTCATAAATAAATAAATATTAAAAAAATGGCAAAAAAAGCCATCAGAATGGCTGGAGCCCACTGATGAAGGAGAGAGCCCTCAGAGGTGGCAGAGGAAGACATGAAGGGCCGAACAAGGACAGAGACAGTCTAGAGTCCCTGTGAAACAGACAGGAATAGCTGATATAGTACATTCAATTCCTGAATAGGAATGGAAAACAAGCTGATGGCTAGGAGGGAGGGTGAGTGGCCTAGTCAGGGCAGATGAGGGACAGGACACTCTGTCCTTAGAGAACCCACACCGCTGTGTTCAAAGCTGAGATGCAGCAGGGAACAGTGGTGCACACCTTCAGTCCCAGCATTCAGCACTCCGAAGGCAGAAGCAAATGGATCTCTGTGAGTTTGAGGCCAGCCTGGTCCACAAAGTAAATTCCAGGACAGCCAGAGTAAGGCTCTGTCTTGAATAATTAAAAACTAAAACAAAGCTCAGATGTGACATCCCAATGGCCCAGGGAATAGGGGTCCCCAAGGGGACATGGAGGAGAAAGTGAACTGTGGGCAGGGAGCTAAAGGCTTTTTCAATAAGGCTAATGGGGCCTGAGAACTGTGTAATGACAGTTGGTTAGGAAGCCCCAGCATTCCTGGCTTTGTTCTAAAACAGCCCTGTCCAGACTGTCCTTGGAGATTTCAGCCCCATTTGTCCTGGCCGTACATTGAAACCTGATAAATCAGATTGAAGTGTGTGTGTGTCTGTATGTGTGAGTGTGTGCGCGTGCATGTGTGTGTTTTCTCCCTCTCAAACACTTCTGGAGTAAACCTTGCCTGAAGGAAAAATAATATCCCCTCTTCCCTTCTTATCTGGTACCAGCTTGCCTAGCACTAGTCAATTCTCACCCAGCAGGTGTCTTGAAGGTTGGCCTCTGAGCCTCACACGTGACCTCCTCTTTTCACTGCCCAAATCTCTCCCATCTCACTTCTCTATGGAACCATCATCCCCTCTGCCTCTTCCCTGGGCCCTGCTCTGGGCTCTAGGGAGATCCTGCAGCATGTTGTCCTAGAGGCTCCATCCTCAGGTAGCTGTGTAGTCCCTAGAACTCTGCCCTTGGAATCCGAGTCTCTGAGATAGTAGAGGCCTCCCCAGCAGTTCTTCCATAAGGTCCCAGCCAGAGATTTACCAAGTTTCGGCCTTCATGCCTCCAGATGGAAAGCTTTACTTAACTATCTGTCCCAGAAAAGAAAATCTGTCCCTGTCTAACGGCCCTGGGCAAGCTTGGTTCTGCCCTTAAGTTACTCTGAGCATCTAAGGATGTCTACAGACAGCTCCACAGCTGTTTGAAGTTGGAGCTCAAGCTGTTCTCACCTGTTCCTGCACTGTCAGTGAGTGGCCTGTGGTCTCAGAATTACCCAGAGAGGACACCATCTCCATTTAGGGCCCTGTGAATCATCTGGTTGGCTCTGCACAGAAGCCTAACCTTTGCAGACACCAAGTAGGCACCCCAGATGCTCAGTTGCTGGAATTTAACATAGAGGTCATACCTGTGTGGTTATCCTCACAGCCAACAGTGACGAGAGTGACGTCATCCATGCAGTTCGGGTGGAGAAGAGCTCCTCTGGAAGGCTGGGTTTCAGTGTGAGAGGCGGCTCCGAGCATGGCCTGGGCATCTTTGTCAGCAAGGTGGAGGAGGGGAGCAGTGCAGGTGAGCAGGGGGCCCCTAGGGGGAGCATGGCTTGGGATATGCCCCCTCTTCAGTAGGTAGCAGAAGCTGGGTAGCCAAGGAAAGGAAACCATGGGAGGTAGAGTCCACTCCTGCTGAGTGGATTAGGGGACACAGCCTAGTGTCAACAGACTTGTGGCGCCCACTTTGACGACTCCCCTTTCCTGCCCCCGTGTAGAGCGGGCTGGCCTGTGTGTGGGGGACAAGATCACGGAGGTGAACGGTCTGAGCCTGGAGAGCACCACCATGAGCAGTGCTGTGAGGCTGCTGACCAGCAGCAACTGCCTGCACATGATGGTGCGGCGCATGGGCCGTGTGCCTGGCATCAAGTTCTCCAAGGAGAAGACCACATGGTGAGCGGCACCCGGCCTGGCTCAGACCCCCCGCCCCACGTCTCCCCTGACCCAGCCCTGTGCCCCTCTGGATATCTCCCCATGGGGACTTGTAAGGAGCAGAAGTTGGGCTCTGGGGCTGGCGGAGGGCAGAGCTGGTGGTAAAGGAGATGCTCGGCATAGTCAGGCATGCTTTGGACTCCATCCACAGCATTAAAAACAAAACAGACGGGGCTGGAGAGATGGCTCAGAGGTTGAGAGCACTGGCTGCTCTTCCAGAGGACCTAAGTTCAATTCCCAGCAACCACATGGTGTCTCACAGCCATCTGTAATAAGATCTGGTGCCCTCTTCTGGTGAGCAGGGATACATGCAGACAGAACACTATACAACCAACCAATAACCAACAAATAAACAATCTAAAATAAAAAAAAAAAAAAACAGAAAAGGGACATGGGCCTCCACATATCACAGTTACTAGATAGAGAAGGAGGGGTGTGATTTCATAGGTTTGATGAAACCTATATTCCACGCCCAACAAGGAAACCATCCCTTTCCTGGTCAGTTGCCATGGCATTTAGACTAGATGTTCCTGGAAGACCTGGGATGGGGCCTCTTGTGTTGCTTGCGGCAGGGTGGATGTAGCGAACCGGCGGCTGGTGGTGGAGAAGTGCAGTTCAACACCATCGGACAGCAGCTCAGAAGACGGTGCGCGCCGTATCGTCCACCTCTACACGACCTCCGATGACTTCTGCCTAGGCTTCAACATCCGCGGGGGCAAGGAGTTTGGTCTGGGCATCTATGTGTCTAAGTGAGTGTTGGGCAGAATGGAACCCCTGGGTATGGGACTGTGGCTGGAAGTGGAGTTTGGGCATGGGTCAACACATGAGGCTCAGCCAACTACTGTCCAAAGGGGGGCCCCTTCAGAATAGGGCCCGGGGAGAGGGTGTTGTCAATCAGAAGAGGCCCAAGGGATGTAGGTGGGAGCCCCCATACCCAAGGGGGAGGGAGGCAGGTCAGGGTCTTATCAAGCCACACCCATCTGTCTCCAGAGTGGACCATGGTGGGCTGGCCGAGGAGAACGGCATCAAAGTGGGGGACCAGGTCCTGGCGGCCAACGGTGTCAGGTTCGATGACATCAGCCACAGCCAGGCCGTGGAGGTGCTGAAGGGCCAAACGCACATAATGTTGACCATCAAGGTGGGCCAGACGATGTGGGAGCAGGGGGAGGTCAGACAATGGCTGGAACTTCTCAGAACATCCTAGTTCTTAACAGGACCCCTTCCCTGCCACAGTGTCAACTCCAAAGAGGCAGCAGTCAATTGTTACACAAGCTGGTCAGTCGCCTGGCCTAGCTGTGGTCTGGCTTCCCATATTTCTCCCCTTCGGCATGGGGGAGGCCTCAAGATGATGGACTAATGAATGGGATAGGGGCTATCACTGTGTGCAAGACCTGGGTTGTGGGGATCCCTGGGCACAGGGCTATAGCAGAGACGGGCGTTCTAGGAGGTGGTTGGTTTCATTATTCATGTGACTGTCACACCTAATTAAGGTCTTCCTCTATCTGTGCGCACAGGAGTGGTGACTCACTCTTCCCCACGGTCCCCCTCTCTTTCCCTGGCTTGTCACCCAGCTTCATTCAGCGCATCATTGACTAGCCCCCGACCTCTATTCTGCCATCTTCCCTTTTCTAAGTACCTGGAACCTTCTTCCTAACTCCGGCTCTTCCCCAATTCATTTCTTAACGCTGTGCCTCCGTGTGCATGTGTTGTTTTTGGTTTGGGAGAATTTCACTATGTAGCCCAGGCTAGGTTTTCCTATGTAGCCACAGCTGGCCCAAAGAAAGGCTATCCTTTCTCGGGTTCCCAAGCACTAGAATTCCAAGTATGAGTCACCCTGCCTAGCTGTTCAATGCTGTTTTTGAGCATCTATGAGGTCAGGTGCTGGGCAGCACAGAGAGCAGGGTAGACCAACAAGGTTTCTCTGCTCCTGGGGGACAGTGACCGTCGGATTTTGACAATACTGGAAGGAAGTTAGCAGAAGGGGAGTGGGATAATTAAGGAAGGGCCTTGTAATCAAGGCAAGGGGACAGTCACCAAGGCAGCGACAGTCAAAGAAGAACAGAGCCATGCAGGGGAATGGCGCTGCCAAGCTCACTCCTGTGCCCACCCATTCCTCCTGACTCCTCACCTGCCCCTTCGATGCCTGCCATGTCTTCTCCAGGAGACCGGCCGGTACCCTGCCTACAAAGAGATGGTTTCTGAGTACTGCTGGCTGGACAGATGTAAGTCCCGAGAGACGAAAGGGAAGAGCCCAAGGGTGGGGCTGAGCTCCTTGGAGTGCTGGGGAAAGGGACCAAGATGCCCTCGGGACCTTCTTGAAGCCAGAGGATCTCCAAACTCAGTGCTAGGATCTTCCAGGCCTCAGGTGCCCGTGGGTGAGGAAGGAAGTGACTTTCCCAGGGCTCTGCGATGTAAATGACAATCTGAGCAGCTGGCATCTCTGACCCACCCCAAAGCCAAGGGTTGTGTGTGAGCATGGCTGGAACCCCAGGAAGGAAGCAGATACCTGAGCGACCTCGCTTCCTCTCCCTTGCAGTGAGCAACGGGGTACTGCAGCAGCTGTCCCCAGCCTCGGAGAGTGGTTCCAGCATCTCCTCCTATGCCTCCAGTGCCCCCTGCAGCTCAGGCTCACTGCCCTCTGACCGCATGGATGTCTGTCTGGGGCCCGAGGAGCCCAGTGGCTGTGGCCCAGGCTGGGGACGGGCAGACACAGCCATGCAGACTGAGCCCGATATGGGCAGCCATGTGGAAACTTGGTGCAGCGTCCGGCCAACCGTCATCCTCAGGGACACGGCTATCCGCTCTGATGGTCCCTCTTCTACCCGACGCCTTGATTCTGCACTTTCGGAGTCGCCCAAGACTGCTCTGCTGCTGGCCCTCAGCCGACCCAGGCCTCCCATCACACGGTCTCAGAGCCACCTGACACTGTGGGGTATGTTGGTAGGGCGCCACTTTTCCCATAGTCCCTAGTCCCAGCAAAGCCCGTCTCAACACCAAGGAGCAATCCCAAAGCTGCCTTTGCCCAAAATCCCAGGGCCTAAGGTCAGGTCCCAGGTCTATACCCAGAATATTCTCTGGTCCTGCTCTAGGCTTCATTTTATAAACAGGTCTGGGCCCCAAACCCACCCTCAGTTCCAGCTCCCAAATTGAAAAGCTCTGGGCCCCAAACCAATCATAACTTCAATTTCTCCAGCCTGGGATGCCCAGAACTGTTTAGTTACAGACACTTGCCAGATTCCCTATATCCCTGGAGCTGTGTGGTAGGGGAGAGGTGGAAGGCAGGAAGAAGACCCCACTCTGGAATGGCAGCAGACCCTGTCTGCCTCCTCTTCCTCTCTCTGCCCTTTTCTATCCCTCTGTGCCCTCCTTCTCTTCTGCCCACCCTCCAGCCCCCCCGGGGGCTCCCTCATATCTACAGAGGAGAAGAAACAGCGGAAGAAGGAGAAGTCAGGGTCCCCTGGGGAGAAGGGGGCCTTGCAGCGCTCCAAGACACTGATGAACCTCTTCTTCAAGGGAGGGCGGCAGGGGCGGCCAGCAGGGGACGGGCACAGAGAGGCCTGGACACTGGACAGCAGAAGCCCCGCCAAAGTCCGCCCTCGCCTGGACCTGGAGAAAGGTAGGTGCTGGACTCCATCTGGCAGTTCTAGGTTGAAATCCCACCCTACTCTGTCACTCACCCTCCCAAGTAAAATGGAAGGATCAAAACTTGTTTCTTTGGACATATAGAAAATCAGAGAATGAATGAATGTAAGCCAGCCCTTTGTCTAGCTCTTAGAAGGTGCTCTGAAAATGGAGTGGCCACTGTCATCTTCCATCTTTTCAGAAAGGTGAAGTGACAAACTCAAGGCACAGCAGGAAGTGACTGAGCTCAGTACAGAGCCATGTGCTTTTCGTGGTGCTGGCAACGGAAGGCACCTTTGCTAGGGCCCCTGGCTTTGCACCCTCCTTCCAGAGCTCCACAGGCCCAAACCAGTTCTAGAACTATCCCTGAGGTCTCAATCAGGGCTCAGATGGAAGGGACTCAGGCTGAGACACTGTCCCCACCCCGTTAGTCGTGATGATTGAACCTTTGGGCCCCAGGCATGCTAGGCAAGCAATTTGCCATTGGGTTCCAGCCCCAGCCACAGGTAGGGTTTGTTTAAGGACCCTCACAAGAAGCTAGTCAACCCTGTTGAGGCTCACAGACCAGACCCAGTATGGATGAAATAAAACTCACAATTGCCCCTGGTATGGATGAAACAAAACTCACAATTGCTTGGGACAGAAACTCGAGTCCTGCCAGCTTTAAAGAGTGCCTCTAAGCTCTGCTACTGACTTTAGCCCATCTGAAGGAACAATACCAGCAATCTCCCTCAGGCATGTGCCTCCACCTTAGGAGGCTTTGCCAACTTGAGGGTAAGATGGCCACTGTCCCTTAGCAACCCTGGGGGCCGGGAATTTTGTTGTTTGGGCTTATGGGGTTTTTTTTTTTTTTTGGTGTTTTGTTTTGTTTTGTTTTGTTTTTTGTTTTTTTAATTTTTCAAGAGAAGGTTTCTCTGTACCTTTGGAACCTGTCCTGGAACTCGCTCTGTAGACCAGGCTGGCCTCAAACTCACAGAGACCCACCTGTCTCTGGCTCCCAAGTGCTGGGATTAAAGACATGTGCCACCATACCTGGCCTACAGAAAGATTTTTCAACAGTTCCAGCTAACGGGGTCAGTCAGGGTTTTCACTGCCTCCTGATGTCATCTGTCATGCTGAGAAAACCACTGTGATATAAGCAGAAAAACAGGACAGGAGCTCCTGGACCTGGCAGACATGTGATTTTGCTGTTCAGCCTGGGCCATGTGCCTAGCCAGAATGCATGGGCTGAGATCGGAGGGGTTTACCCAGGAGATGAGCAGGGTACTGCTTCCAGAAGCAGGAGTGAACATTGAGTAGTTAGAAGCAAGCAGAGGATGAGAAGGTGGATGCTGCTTCTCTACCTTAGAACAGAGTGTCCAGAGGCCTCAGGTGACAGTCCTGTAGAGGAGACATTTCTCCAAGCCAAGGCTGAGCCAGCCCCTTTCCTCACCGCTGCCTTCTCACAGTTCCCAGGTTGTTGTTTCCTCGTGGTTCTTTGCCCACCTTTCTGGCCCATCCTCTCTCTGTTAACAAGGCTCCTCCTTCTTCCTCTGTCTTCTCTGGAAGGTAGGTACCACCAAGCTCTGTCCTTGGGGGTCTTCATTCATTTCCAAACAACTCACCACACATAGTGTTCACACCGCCTCCTCCTCTGCTCCACAACCTTCGCTAAGCCCCACCCCCATGGCCTATGAATGAAGTCCCTAACTGGTCATGACCTGCAAGGCCCACAAAAGCACTTGTCCCCACCCTGACGACTTTCAATGGAAACTCTTATTCCAATTGAACTGAATCTTCTTCTTCTTTATAGCAGGGAGTGTGGGACCTGTGCAGAAGTTTGTCACCTGGAGATTGAGACGTGGTAAATCCAATATCCCGAGGTCCCCGTGGTAAAGCAGCAGGTGGGGATGCAAGCTAGGACCAGCTTATTGGCTTTGACCTAAGCTCATTTAGAGCCGAGCCTGTGGAGTCAGACAGAGGACTTGGTTGGCTTACTAGAAAAGATAGGGGGAAGAGATGGGACCCTTCAAAAGGATTTGGGGGTGAGGGAGCCTGTCTGTACTTCAGGGGCGGGACAGATGGGGATGAGAGTGAAGGAGACCCTGGAGTTTGCTCTTTACTGATGGCGGTTTGATAGGAAAAGCCATGTTGGGGAGCAGGGCACAGGGGAATTCTGTCCAGGGTGCCTCACCCCTGCCAAGAGAAACTCTGTCTTAACCTAACAGCTCTGTCACCTTGATCACACCCTCGTACTCCTACCCTATAGATCGGGAGAGGGGCCGGGCCCTGCTCTCTGCCAGGTCTGGAAGCCCCTCTGGCCAGCTGCCCAATGTGGATGAGCAGGTGCAGGCCTGGGAAAGTCGACGGCCCCTCATTCAGGACCTGGCCCGGCGACTGCTGACAGACGATGAAGTACTAGCGGTCACTCGCCACTGCTCCCGGGTAACCCTCTGCCCAAAACTCAGGCCCTCATTCCAGGCCACTGTCCACTGACCAGCACCTGGCCTTGTTTCTGGGAGCTCCCAGACAGGAAGGAAAGACAGACATTAATTAGAATCTAAATCCCCGTAGTGACCAGACATGCAGAGCACTGTGAAGGACAGCCACGGGCAACCCAGGAGATCTGGGAAGGCCTCTCAGAGGAGGTGACATCTCTGAGGTGATGAGGAGGACAGGTGATGTCAGGGGAAGATAGTAGGAGGGGAGAAAACTGCAGGCAACTGGCTGTGTCCTCTCTCACCCTAAGTCTTGTCCCCCATCTCCCCTTCTATGCCTGGGGCAGCCAGTAGGTTGGCCTTCTGCCACAACCTTCCCCCAAGACCTACACTCTTGTTTCCTTTCTCTCAACTATTTCGGGGCTGTATGTGTATTGTGATGTATACATTGACATGGCTATGGGGTAGCTAGTGTGTGTTGGCCTGCCTGCAGGCATTTGTTTGTGCCTAACACGTATTATGTATGTGCCCACGTAGTTTCACTCGAAGCCTAAGGTAGGGTTGCTCACACATTACTAAGGCCTGGTTTACAACAGAAATGCTGATGGAGGTTCCTGTCAAGGGCTCTGGGCTAAAATCCACTCTCAGTTCCATACATTAAGTGGGCTTCGTGAGAGCTTGCAATGCTGAACTGTGACCACTAGGAGGGGCCCTGCATCTGTATCTTTGGCCAGCACTTTTCCTTATTCCTCCATTCCTCCAGCCCTCTTCAAACCAGGACTTCATTTCACCATGACACCCTTTACCCTGTAGGCTCTACATACAATCCACACCCACAGTAATTCCCCCACCCTAAACCTTCTGAAATGGAGCCCAGGGCTGAAAGATAGGCAACATTCCCCGGTGACTACCGTGTGCAGCCCCGAACCTGTCTGAGCCATCCTTCCGCATTCACCAGGCCTGGAATTACAAGCTACCTTTCCTACTGCTTTACAGTTCCCTTATGAGGCAGAATTGAGTACAAATTACTTTCTCCCACCTTCTAGGACTTCCACAGTGTGTCACCCCAACCCTTACCCCCAGCGTTCCTGGGTCACCACACAGCTGTTATAAATTATAAGCTGCATAGTTTAGGAGTGCTCCTGACATAGAGCTCAGCCCAGGCAGCCCTATAGGAAGGTCTTCGTCAACACCACAGTCAACCTCTGCTTACTCGGTGTTCTACATCCTTAGCACACTCTCCTCTCCAACTTCCATGTTGCTCGGGGCATCTAGTCTGGAAGAATCACTGCTTCCGAGGCTCACTCTGACCCTTCACCCTTCTCTGAAGCTCTCATTGCCCCACGGCAGTGGTTTACAGCTACTGCTGAATGAGGCTTATCTGTCCCTGTTGCCACTTGAGTCCCGGAGGCTCTGGGAAAGGGTCTTATCCTTGTGCTTCCTTTGCCACCCGAGGTCTAACAGTAGACGCTGAATTCATGCTTGTGGCCTTTAGGGACAGGCACGCACATGGCAGCGTATTGTTGAGTCCCTGTAACCGTGTGTGTAGACACACACACACTTTTTTATTTATCCCTAAATATTCATTGATGATTCACTCAGATGACCACAGCGCCTGCTATTTCTGTGTCTATGCCCATACGAGGTAACTATCCTTGGGTCTCTCTGGAGCTGTCTCCCTTTCACCACCAGGGGGCAGTGTGCTGCCCAAGTGACTTGGCTCCCAGTATTCAGTTTTCTAGAATCCATGGGGTGTGGCATCCGGGCTGGTGGCATCCAGGCGGTGCCAGGCAGAAGGTTATTGACTAGAGAGGCTGTCTGTGGAGCCACCCGCTCCCCAAGATCACCATTCCAGCTCCGAACAAAGGGTGGACAGCCAAAACCACAGCCTAGTGTTGGGTTCCCGTTTCTTCTGCCCGGGTGAGAGGGTAGAGGGAAAATCTATTCACTACACATTATTTCCCCGCATCAGAGCAAGCAAGAGCTGGATGTCTTGGGTTCCAGCCTTTCGTCCTATTTCCTTATCTGCACGGCTCTGAGCAAATTCTCCCAAGTCTCAGTTCCTCCCTCTGTAAAACAGCAATCATCTCAGAGTGGGCACTAAATAAGAGACTGTATGTAAAAGGTTTAGAAAGTTGCCTGTCCAGACGCCATGATTGCTGTTGGTATTTGTTGCAGATCTGGTGCTGATCGTCACAGGAATTCACAGTCACTGACTTAACATCTTATGAACCTTGGACAGGGTGAACCTATCTTAGAGTGAGGATGGCTAGATGGGCCCCAGCGTCCCCGTGCACCCTGTTTCACTGCATTCAGCTCAGTAGTTGCTGCTGCTATCTAAGCCGTGGTGTTTCTTTCTATACACAGTATGTCCATGAAGGTGGCGTGGAGGACCTGGTGCGCCCCCTGCTGGCCATCCTGGACAGGCCGGAGAAGCTGCTGCTGCTGAGGGACATCAGGTTGGGTGGGGCTTGAGGGAAGGGAAGGGGCAAGAAGTCCCAGTGACCCCAGGGTTGAAGCTCCTCCATGCCCACACCTCCAGAACCGAGCCCTGCTTACCCCACATCCCTGCCTTCCTCAGGAGTGTGGTGGCATCCACGGACCTCGGCCGCTTTGATAGCATGGTGATGCCTGTGGAGTTGGAGGCTTTTGAGGCTCTCAAGAGCAGGGCAGGTCAGCAGCTGGGGCAGGACTTGGACTTCCGACTTCTGAGCTCCAGTCGGGGCTGGGGGGAGGGGCGCTTGATGCTGCTGAGCCCATTGGCATGGCCATCTCGGAGCCTGGCAGGAGTGCCCGGCCTCTGACCTGTTGTCCCCTCCGACCAGTTCGGCCTTCTGCTTTGAGACCAACCAGGCAAGACACGCCACCCAAGCGTCACCTCATCACCCCTGTGCCTGGTCAGTCAGAGTCCCATAACCTGGGGAAATGGGACAACCCTGGGGACATTGGAACAGGGAGAGCAGGCCTTCCATCCTTGCCCCCGAGCAGTATCACCGCAGTAGGAGGGAAAGGGCTTTCTCCAGGCCATCCTCATCAGCGTTGAGAGCACTTGAAGATCACACACTTTTAAATCAGGTTTCTTGGCTATGCTAAAGTGTATTACGATACAACGTGCTAGGACACTATTAGCAATAGGTCGCGTCTGTCCACCTGCCCCCAGAGAGTAGTGTCGCTTATCATGGACACTTTACAATGGACCTGAGCAAATCCAGGCCTTGTTTACACACACCCGGGAACCCCACAGACTGCAGAAAGGAGGACCAGGGAGGGTCTGGGAAGGTATCTTGGAACTGATAGTTAAGAAGAGCAAGTTAACCTTGACCCTGTTCCCCAGACAGCCGTGGAGGCTTCTACTTGCTGCCAGTGAATGACTGCTCAGAGGACGACCATGGCGAGATCCGGGAGAGGCTGGGGGGCCTTAAGGTCTCTCTCAGTGCCTCTGCCCCTCGCCACCACCATAAAGGAATCCCCCCTCTACAAGATGTACCAGTCGATGCCTTCTCTCCTGGCCGCAGTGCATGTACACCCCCTCCCCAGCCTCCTCCTGTGGCTCCCCGGCCTCCCAGGCCTAACTGGTTACTGACAGAACCCCCAAGCAAAGAGGAGGTTCAGCAGAACCAGAGCCAGACCCCAGCCCAAAGCCGCAGTCGCAGCCGGAGCCGGGGTCGAGGCAAGTCCCCTGGGCGCAGGAGCTCCCCATCCCCAGCGCCCATCACCACTGCCACCACAGCCAACGGGCGATACCACAGGCCTCGGAAGGCAAGGCCCTCGCTTCCACGACCTCTGGGCGGGCAGGAGACCAAAGTGGAAGCCAGGCAAGGGCCCTTGGAGAATGGAGTTAATGGGATGGCCGAGGAGACTACCAGGAAAGCCTCCACTGGAGAGCTGAGGACAGTCACGCTATCTAAGATGAAGCAGTCTTTGGGTGAGTCAGGGTGGCACCAGGTAAGCAGGGTGGGTATGAAGGAAGTTGGGGGACCAGGAAAGAAATCTGAGCACGAAGGTATGTAGCTGGGAATCTAGGTTCTAAGGTTGAGACTTGAGACAGAGCCCAGAGGCAGGAAGAAGTCAAGGCTGATTTAGAGGATGGGACTCCCTGGGAGCTCAAAGTTTGGGGTAAGGCTGCCACTCTGTGCTCTGTACCCTCCCCAGGCATCAGCATCTCTGGGGGTATCGAGTCCAAGGTGCAGCCCATGGTGAAGATAGAGAAGATCTTCCCAGGAGGTGCTGCGTTCCTCTGCGGGGCCCTGCAGGTGGGTGCAGCACCAAGCCTCGCTAGGCCCAGACTGAAGGGTACAGGGTTGTTCTTGTCTTCCAGCCAGGCATGTTCAGACCAGGTCGTAGGAGTTGGCTTGGGGGCAGAGGGGTCAGGCCAGGCCTAGAGAAGAATCCATCCCCTCACGCTAGCCTGGGCCTGAGAATGGCCCATCCTGTTCCACCTCAAGTCCCAAGGGACAAAGGGCCATTGTCTGTGCCCCACCCTGCCCCCAACGGCTCCAAGCACAAAAGTTCTATTGTCCATCCCCAGCATCCAGATGGGAGAGGAGTGTCCTAGCTGGCAGAGGTGAAAGGCCACTGCCTTCAGGTTGGGTGGTGGGTAGGAGGGGATGGTGGGAGGCTGACTCTTCTATCTCCACGCTAGGCTGGCTTCGAGCTGGTGGCAGTGGATGGAGAGAGTCTGGAGCAGGTGACCCACCAACGTGCTGTGGACACCATCCGCAGAGCGTACAGAAACAAGGCTCGGGAGCCTATGGAGCTTGTGGTCAGGGTCCCTGGGCCTGGCCTGCTGCCCTTATCCTCTGCTTCATTAGCCTTCAAGGACCAGAGCCTTCCCGCTGACAATTCCTCTGCCCACAAACCCCTCGACAATACCCCAGCCCAGCTGCCACCCCCTGAGGCTGGGCAAACTACAGCAGACTCCCAGCCCAGCCCTTCAGGCTCCTCACAGCACCTCCAAACTCTCCCCTCTTAAGGGTTCCCATGACCCTTCCCACTGACCCTGAGAATTACTGCTGCCTCCAGGTTTCCTGCAATACCCAGGCCCCTTTGTCCTATCTGCCCGCCCGCCTGCTGGGAGCACACGGTGGCTCTGATCCACTGCGGCTCTCAGAAAGGCTCTGGCCTTTGGAGGCGGATGTCCAAGGACAAGGTTCTAGTGGGCAACTGTGTGTCATTTGCATTCCCTGGTCCTGGACCGCTTCACAGTGAGGGGACAGAGAACCTCAAGTCTGAAGTTGTGAGGCTGATGATGCCTCTGGCTTCCCATACTCTGAGGGTCCTCAAGGAGGTCACTGCATCCATTCCCCAGTCTCAAGCAGCACTCGGTGCAAAGAACAGGATGGAAAGCTTTTCTAACTCCTCAAACCTGGTTAAGACTCACGTTGTGATCCACGAGGACCTCTGACTCCGCTGGGTTAACCCTATCACCCTTCCTCCCTGCAAGAACTTCATGAGGTCGAGGAGGAGCCAGCAAGCAGAGGGGACAGATGTTCCCGGACAGATGTCAAACAAGTTCCCTGTGGTTCTTTATCCAGCATACTTTTTTAAAAAAACAATTTTTTTTAAATGTTTTCTTTGGGTTTGTACAAGAAATTTACATGTGAAAAATATACAAGTGAAAATGAGGCCATAAACCTGGTAACAGGAGGGGCTGCTTGGTCACAAACACAAATAAACAAGACATTGCTGGGTTCTTCCTTTGGTCTGACTTCAGCCCCCTCAGCCCAGAAGGGGCTTGCAGAGCTGGACATAGGGATCAGACCCCAGTCCTAGCCCCGCCCCTCCTCGTGGGCATGTTGGGGGCAGGCACATCTGGAGCAGCTGGTGCCATCTGGCTCTCTCTGGCTTCAGGCAGGTAGAATGTGGAGATGGGGTAGCCCCGCAAACATCTGTGGGCAAACAAGGCTGGCAGTGGCGCTGACAGCCCGGGAGTGAAATGGTGGTGTGGGTAGGAGCCTCTGGGTGACAGCGAAACGGAACTCAAGTCACAAGGCCACCCGAACGCTTGGCAGAGGCCCTTTGGCTCTGGGACCTGGAGTGCTCAGTGGATCCGGGGACCCAGGTGGTCCTGTGGCTCTCCCCTTGCAAAGCTCTAAATTTCAGTGGCAGTGATCTCCTCCAGACAGATGCAGGGGGCTGGCTCAGCCAGGCCCAAGTCAGCAAGCTCACGGGCCTCCAGCTCCAGGCTGAGTTGCTGCAGTTCCTGCTCCAGCTGCCGGTTGCGCCGGTACATCTGGATGTAGTTGTGCTGCAGCTGCTTCTGGTAGCGGATCACCTGCTCCTTCTCCGCCTGCCAGGCCAGCCGCTCGCCCTCAAAGCTGTCGCGCTGCTCGTCTCCTCGCCGCTGTTCCCGCTGTAGCTCTTGGCGCAGCCGTTCCACCTGAGCCCGCAGGCTCCCCCCTGCCCCAGCTGCTGCCCTCTGCACCTTAACCTCATCACTCTCTGCCAGGAGGAAAGGGTCAGTGGTGGCCGGGGGCACGGAGGGTACAGGGGGTTCCCGGAGTCCCGCTGCCTCAGCATCCAAGTGCCCAGCCTTCTCCCGGAGCCGCTCAGCCTCCTGGCGGTACCGCTGTAGCTCCTGGGAGCAGGCCTCTAGCTCGAGTTCCCGAGCTCGGGCTGCCTCCTGCAGGCCCCTGGCCCGACCCTCACTGACCCGCAAGGCAGCCCGGGCCTCTCGAAGGGCCACGCGCAGTGCCACCAGCTCACTGCCCTTCTGTACCAGCTCCGCCTGAGATTCTTTCAGTTGCTGCTTCAGCAGGGAGATCTCACCGGATTTCTGGCACACCTGTGGGTCGAGAGTAGCGAGGAAGGACGGTAAGGCCTCTCTGGATATTGAGCCCTGGGTACCACGCTGGGCATTCAAGGAGAGGAGATGCTATCTCCCTGCTTTCCACAGAGGCCCAGCAGGATGCGAGCCTAGTGACACACTCATAGTTACACTCTAGTAAGAGGGGAAAGGAGAGAAGAAACCCAGATCCTCTCTCTTCCATGCTGGTATCCTGACACCTAGGCACTGCCTAGGCCGGGAGAGGATGGCAGGTACTGCAGGAGTGGAGTGGGGAAGAAAGGCACCTTGGGTAAGAACAGGCATTAAAAACCAGCTGCCTGGGTTTGTATCTCGTCCCAGTTCCTGCTAGTTTAACTCTAGGCTCCAGCCCTTTCTGACTCGGGTTTCCTCATTCATGGAGGTATTGACAGTACCAGCCTAATAGAGAAGGCAAAGATGCCACTAGCTCTGTGGGCACCAGACAAGACCCGTGAGGTCCAACATGGAGGCACAAGAAAATCCCAACCCAGAAGGATGAGGAAGTGCAGACCCTCTCGAGTAGCTCCCCGGGGTCATAGAGTGTGGCCCCTCCAACCTGCTCAGCACCGAATCTTGCGTACCTCCCATTTGGTCTCCTCCAGCCGCGGCCCGAGTTCCCGCTGCTCCCGCTCAAAGGTAGCGCAGCGGCGCTCCAGCTGCTCTCGCTCCTGCAGCAGCTGTGCGAAGTCATCCTGCAACTGGCGCTTCTCTTGCTGCAGCTGGAACACCTGCAGCTGCAGTAGCTGTTGAGCCCGCTGGACACGCTGTGTGGCCTGCTGCGCCTGGGCTGCACAGTCCTCCCGCTCCCGTGGCCAGTGCCTCTGCCGCGCTCCAAACGCCTAGAGAAAAGAAGGCAGGCGAGAAACCATCAGGTGCTTCGGATCCTGAGCTCTAGCCTCTCGTGCTTGGGTGACTCCCTGCCTGGGCTGAAGGAGGGAAGAGCACACAAATCCAGCGTATTATGACATCAGTAAAAGCAAGCACTAATACAACCCTTCCTAATAATCCCCCTAGGGAGTCAGAACTATCCCCATTTAGACGAGGAAACTGGGGTTTGGTGAGGTTAAGAAACTTGCTCAAGCTTCAACAGACGCTCCGAGCCAGTGCTGGATCCAATTCACAAACCCTGTCTCCTTACTCCTTCGGAGGTTAAGCTAAAAACCTTGGGGGTGTCACAGAAGGTCTCCATCCTCTCCCTCCCCAACAGCAATGCTTCAAGAGTGGGTCCCTCGGCCTCTGGATACTCCACCACACCACCCAGGACTGCCTTGGGCCGCACCTGACACACGGTAGCCTCACTCTCCTCCATACCGTCCCGCAGATGCTGCAGCTCTGCCTCTCGGTCTCGAAGTTTCCCTTCCAGGACACAGTGTAGCAAGGCCTCATCCGAAGGGGGCGGAGGGGGCGGAGGGGGCGGAGAGCGGTCTCCACCGGAACTGCTGCCAGGGGAAGCCCGGGCACCACTGCCCAAGACACCCCCAGCTACACGGCCCCCCAAGGAACCCGTACTTTTGCTGGAGGAGGATCGTCCACTGTCCGAGTGGGAGGGCCCAGTAGGGACCCCTCGGGCTGGACCAGGCAGTGACCCTCGGCTGGGGCCGTGGGAGGGCAGGTGCCCACCTGGAGAGTTGGTGGTTGGCTCAGCACCCCCGGTGCTGTAGGTGGGCAAGCTGGATAAAGAATTGCGACCAGAGTCTGGCGGTGTCCCGGATGGGCAGCCACTAGCCCAGCCACTCAGTGCCAAGGGCTTGTCAGCAGCAGAGGAGGAAGAGGAAGAGGAGGAGGAGGCTGGCCCCCCAAACAGCTGTGTCAGGCTGCCCTGACTCCCAGACAGCCCAGCAGCTCGAGGACCCAGGAAGCCAGGTAGGGATGGTGCCCCCCGAGGTTTGGGTAGCACTGGCTTGAAGGCTGTTGGCCGGATCAGGATTTTCTCCATGTTCTGAAACGAGGGACCACGTGACACGTGAGGCTAATCTGCACGATCACTTTCTTTTTCTTTTTTTTTTTTTTAAAGATTTATGTATAGTGTCCTGCCTGCATGTTAGAAGAGGACACCAGATCTCATTATAGATGGCTGTGAGCCACCATGTGGTTGCTGGGAATTGAACTCAGGACCTCTGGAAGAGTAAGCAATGGCTCTTAACTGCTGAGCCATCTCTCCAGCCCTTTTCTTTTTTTTAATTTTTTTATTTTTGTTAGTGGTTTGAGGCAGGGTTTTACTCTACTGGCCTGGAACTCACTATGTATCCACAGGGCTAGCCCTGAATACAAGCAAGGCTTCTGCCTGTTAAAGAGTGGGATTACCGGTGTGAGATACCAAGCCCAGCTTGCTTGCTTGGTCTTTCAAAACGCTAATCTACCTGTCTGTGCACACACCGGTGCCCGTGTGTGGAGGCCAGATGTGAAAGTCAGGAGCCTGCCTTGGTTGCTTTCCCCAATTTTTGATAAGTCTCTGACTGACCCTGGAGCTCACCAATTCAGCTAGACTGACTGACCAGCAAGTCCCAGGGTCTGCGAGTCTCTGCCTCACAGTCCTGAGACGTAATGTCCAGCTCTTTACATGGGTGCTGGGGCTTTGAACTTAGGTCCTTATGCTAGTACAGCAGGCATGTCACCCACTGGGCCATCTCCTCATCTCTTTAAGCCCCAAACCTTGATCTTTCAAAACCCTGTCAGATTTTCCACCCTTCCCACACAGGGCCCTCAACCCCTATAAAGTAAAAACAATTGTTCCCACTAACAACAGGCCTCCTAAATGTCCACTTATGTTAAGTAATTCAAAGTGCTCTTTTTTAATCATTACAATAGCCATGCAAGCAAAAAAGGCTTTGCCCAAAGACACTCGACACACTCCCATCTGTGCAGTAACAGCTGAAGCAACTAGGCTGGATGTGGTGCACGCCTTTAATCCAGGGACTCAGGAGGCAGAAGCAGGCAGATCTCTGGAGGCCAGCCTGGTCTACATTGTAAGTTCCAGCATAGCCAGGGCTATGTAGAGAAATAATCAACACAACTAATATCGTTGGCTTGAAGGTGCTGGGTACTATGCTAAGTACTAATTCTAACAGGAACCTACAAAAATTAGCCTATAACAGTAACTATACACAGAAATGGGACTTGGCCAGGGTGATAGTTCCTGAGCCCACATTCTTTGCTCTATATATGCAAATTCTAGCTTCCCTAAGGGGCTCCTGACTCCACCCAGATCCTCCCAAGAGGACTGGCTCTTACCTTCTCCAGCTTTCCAGAGACTGGGATGAGCTTTGGTGGGGGCCCACGGAGGTGGGCATTGTTTGCCCGCTGCTCTCGGGGATCGTCAACATCACTGCTTGGGCTGGGAGGTGACTCTGTCCGGAAGTCCTCATTGATATAGGTAAAGCTGGTGCCTTGGACAGCCTTCCTGGGTGGCGCAGCTGGGCAGAGTGGTTCCTGAGCCTCGTAGCCACCCCGTAGCAGCCCATCCTGCTGGCGGAAGAAGGTGGGCCCAGGGACACCATGGTGGCGTGGAGGAGCAGATCCCCCAGGGCAGGGCCGGCCTGAGATAAGACTGCTCACGCTACCCATTGCTGGAGCTTGTGGGGCAGTGGCTGTCTCACGTGCGGGCTCCAGTGGCACTGGCAGAGTGTGCACAATGGCCATGGTGGCAGAGGCTCAGGCCTGGCCAGGGGCCTCCAGGGCAACCTGCGAGCAGGGCATGGGTGTCAGAGTCCCTGCACCTGAGTACTCTCCCCCTACAGGCCTTCTCCTGACCCCCTCCTCCAGACAGAGCACTCCCAACACAGTAACACTTCCTAACTCTAGTCTGGACAAGGCTAAGGAATAATTCAACCAGAGTCGATGAAGGAATGGGAGACCTAGGAGGTTATGCAGGTTCTCTGCCAGGAAAGACCCAGTCTTAAGCCCAAATCTGCCTCCCCTGTGAAGGTCAAGCCACGGATTGGACAGAGATCCTAACTACTAGCTCCTAGTACAGGTCCCTACTCTCCTGGGACAGCTGGCCTCATTCCTAGGCTGTTTGGGCAGAGGACACGTCAGGGATGCAATCACCAGCCAGGTGGTGATTAAGGAACAAAGAGCCAAAGCCAGGCAGTGTCCAGCCTCCCACTGCTGGGCCTCAGTTTCTCCCAGACACAGAGGCGGCAAGGGTGGAGCTGGCCAAACAGGAAATCTTAGAGGCCTTAGGAACCCACAGGTGCCCTCTGGGGTCTCCTACCTCCCAGAGGTTGATGCTGGTTACACTTGTTTCCATGACAACTCCTAGCTTCTGCCATCCACTCAGTTAGGACTAAGGGAGCCTATATAGGGCCTGTCCAAGTGTCCACCTTTACAAACCTTCCCGCTTTAGTTGATCTTCAGAGCACCCCTACGGGATTTGAGCAGAAGCCCATTACCACCCCTGGGAGGATCTCAGTAAGATGGTTCCACTTCCCCCAGGCTTGCCCCTTCCTGGAATGGACAGCAGGCCTCCACCCGGAACTCTCTCCCAGTCCCAAGGCTGCTGATGACCAAGACTTAAGCATCTGCTGAAGTCATCATGTGGAGCAGGGGCCAAGAGGGGACAGAGAATTCCATACGAGTGCGTGCACTTACTTGTGGGTGTGAGCACATGAACAGGAACATAAAAATGAACAGCATGCGTGGAAATATGCAGAGGGTGAATGTGTGTTTAGATGGCTGTCAGTACATACATGTGTGTGTGATGTGGGGAACACGACTAAAACAGTTGGGTTATGTAGCACAGGCAGGCCTCAAACTCATGAATCCTCCTGCCTCAGCTTTCAGAATCCTGGGATTCTAAACTTTGTAAAACCACAGCCAGATATATGTATGACTTCTTATGTCTTACAAAACTGAGTTTTATTACTTAGAAAGTACACAAAAGTTATTAATGTATGTGTAACAAATGAATCTGTGGGGTCTGAATGTGACGATATGACCAAAAAAAAAAAAAGTTTGGATAGATAGACCAGTTTGTTCACATATATGTGAGTTTTTGTGTGAATATCACCAAAAGTGGAGTCTATGTCCCAAGTCAGATGAAGTCACCCAGCCTCAATAGCCATTTTCTTCTCTCAGTATGGAATTCCTAGGGAAATCCTCAAGCCTTTGGGTTGCATTGTCTCCCAAAGATTGAGAGACAAGTGTCCCTATAGAACAACTTCATTTCTGCCAGGACGGATAACACGAATCACTATGTGTATATCTTACACAAGCGTGTGAACGGAAAGGACGGTGTGTGAAAAGCACATTTGGCATAATCTGTATGAGTGAGCATTCCTGGAGGGAGGTTGGGACCTGGGTGACATTCAAGACCACATGGGTGGATAGAAGCCAGTCCCCCCCTTTTTAAGACCTTCCCCTCTCCCCCAAACTTAAAGGTGATAGGAAAGGTGAACCCACAGTTCTGACCCCATTGCCCCATCTGGTTTTTCGGTACTGCTCCCCATTAAGTGTCCCCAAGTTTTAAGACACCAGGAATCACAGAAGTCCAGCCTAAGGAAGGAGTTGCTGGGAGCTAGGGTGGTAAGTGAACTGGATCCAGGAGCAATCACACATCTCTCTGTAGGGCTAGGAGCTGAGATTGACCCCACAAGGTTCAGTTCGGGGATAGAGTGGGTCCACACTGTGGAGCCAAGAGTGGGAATGCGCTGGCACCCCTGTTTATAGTTCCCCACTCCGGGGTACACAGAGAGTGAGACCCAGAAGCAAGGGCAAAGGCCGCAGTAGTCACTCAGAGAGACAGAGACCAGAAGTCAAGAGACAAAGGGGCCAAGAGGCTCAGGCATGGGGAGCTAGAGGCAGACCCATGAGTTAGGGTCGTCGAAGCCACGCAGGCAAGGGCCCCTAAAGCCAGAGGGATGTAAAGCTGGGCTCTGAGGGCCAGGAGTCTGGAAAGCCAGGCCTAGCCAGCCTGACTCCCGCTCTTGAGGCCCAAGAGAGAAGGAGGGGCAAGCGGCTCCATTTTGAGAAATGCGTTTGTGGTTGTGGGAAAAATGAACCCCTGGTTCTCCCAGCACTCCCTGACCTATGACTCTGGTACACAGACCCCTGCACCCCCCCCCAACCCCGCAGCGGGCTGGGGGTCCTGAAGCCTGGGGCGGCGCCAAGGCCTGAGACGAGTCTGGCCCAGGTCCCAACTCTCTGACCTCAGGGTTGGGGGTTGGAGAGTTGGGGAAAGTCCCCCCCACAAACACACACAAACTCCAGAGACCAGTCAAGCGGGATCCGGTCTGGGATCACGAGTTCCCCTTCCGAGCCTGAAAGCCGGGAGTCCCCCCCCATCCCGGCCCACCCACAACTGTCCGCTCCTTCCATGAACTGGGGCCGTCTGTGGAATGCCACCTCCCCACCAGACCGCATCGCTTAGAAGTTGGGGCACCCTGAGCCCTGGCCCCCTCACCTCCGCCGCGCTGCTCCATGCTCAGCCCCGGGCCGCCCTAGCACTCCACAGGCGCGCCGCCCGCTCCAGCCCGCGCGCGGCCACTCGGAGCTGCCCGGCCCGGCCCCGCCTCCGCCTAGCCGGCGCCCCCGGCCCCGTCCAGCCCCCGCCCGGCCCGAGTGGGCGGTGCGCGCGGAGCGGGGGAGGGGTCCGAGGGGCGTCCCCGCCCCGGGCGCGGATACGCGCAAGCACCCCGCGTCACGCGTGCTCGCCAGGGCGCACGCAGGGGCTGCACGGTGGCGCCCAGGATCCCTCCCAGAGTGGCCCCACAACTGCGTTTGTGTTGGGTGACTCGGTCGGCTCGAGATTCGTCGAGCGGGTCATCGTCTGTCCCTGCCGGGGCCCGAGGGCCGGCGGCAGCTGGTCATTGTTCCAGCACAAAGAGCCAAGGCGCGGCGCCCGCCCCTCCCCCTCCCCTTCTCTAGACGAAGCTTCCCTCCCCAGTCTCCAGCTTCCCGGTCCAAGAGGAGGCCGAGGGTCAGCCGTCCCTCTCCGGTTGCCGGCTCCCGGGCACAAGTTGAGGGACTGGCTCGGTCGCTGTCTGTCCCACCCCCAGAAGGCTTGGAGGTCACACACTAGGATTTGCAGAAGCGGCGCCACCTGGCGGCTCCTTCCAGCAACTTATCAGCCACCGCCCCCCCCCCCCCCCCCCCCCCCCCCGCCCAAAGCCCCCAACCAATCCCACTCCCTTCCCAGCGCAGCGCCCTCAGGCCGAGGGGTCTCGGCTTGTCCCTGGCGTGGCTCCAGGCTCTCCAGCCTAACTTGGGGTCATTTGCTATGAGGTCGCGCTGCTCAAAGGGGAGGGGCCTGGCCCCCAATAATCACAAGAATGAATGGTTCAAACCTACACTGGCTCCACAGCAGACATCCCAAAGTCTTTCTCAGGGTCACAAATATTTTTACCCTTTCGAAAACAACAGTCTTAACACCCACACGACCTTTCCCACATTCTGTCTCAGGCAGCCACAATAACTGGCTCATCCATCACGTGGTTCCATATTCCTTCATTCCATAATCCTTCGGGCCAACTCGCAGAAGACTTGGTGCTTCATGCCTGTCGCGCACCCTCCACAACCGTCCCCTGCATCCAGCCACAGTCTTAAAATATACTTAGTCTCCCAACCAACCCTCTGCTATGCAGAGCCGGCGGTATTCAGCCACTCAGACAACTTCTTACATCATATTCGCAAACTGCCCACTTTCCCTGAGGGGGTCTCTGTGACCTGGTCAGGTCAGCTGACATTCACATCCTCTGGCAAGGCCACCCTCCCTTCCCCGCTGCCCCCCCCCGCCCCCCAGGGCCAAGGCCTGCCAGAGCAAGGCTCAGCCCCAGGAAGAAGCATTCCCCCCCCCCCCCTCGCCAGGCCACAGCCTGGCCGGCTCTCAGCTCTATTTTTAGCTCCCATGGAAAGGGTTGTTTTTCTTTCTTTTTCCCTGGAAAGGGAAACACAGCCCAGCCACCCTCAGGCTCACTCCAGTCCCTCAGCTTCTTAAGGAGAGACTGAACCCCTCTCCCCTAGCAGAGACCCCCGCCTCTGGCCTTGCCCTGATCCCTGCCTCCTGGGGCACGGAGAGCCTCCTCCCCTTTCTGGCCGCCTGCCCAGAATCTCAGGCAGCAGCTGGGCTCAGCGTGTGGCGGGGTGAGGGGTGGGGGATGAAGGGTGGGGGCCGGCAAGGGAGAGAGGCCTATGGCAGCAGCCCCCTCCTTCATTTTCTGAGAAGGGGATCTGGTCCTTCTTCCTCCTAGTGAAGGCAAACTCCCATCAGGGTTTAAGGCTATCTTTACTCTTATGCATTCTCCGTGGCGTGGGGTGAGGGGCGAGAGGAGACTGTTCCTCTTGCATGGGTGGGCTTTTTGTGCCCAGTCCTGCAGGTCTTGGTGGTGGGAGGAAGAGGACCTATGGTCAGCTGCTCCCGGAGCTGGGTGTATGAGGCCATGAGACCAGGGCAGCTGTCCAGGGCCATCAAGGCCCTCTCTCGGATACCTTTCAAGGATGCGGGTTCCGAGAATGTGTTAGTGAGGAGGAAGGCAAAGAGTCCAAGTAAGCCCACCCCATCCAACAGTCTCCCGGCCTCCTGTACCACCCAAGCCCCCGGGGGCGTTAAGCTCCCATTCTGGGTGAGTGGGTTTATCGCCATTCCAGGTGAAGTACGGAATAAAGCCCAGTACACGGCGAAACACACAAGCCAGAAGTGGGGGAGAGGTGGATGAGAGGGGCATCCCTGCCTAGACAGGGTTGGGGGAGCACTGCCCACCGGTCTGCGAAGCAGTCACGTGCTCAGCGCCTGTTTACGCCTTGGTCTTCACCTGCAGGCAAGCGGCCGGGAAGCTGGAACCGCCTGATGCGACAAACCCCGCCCGCCCCCGCCGACAATTTCGGGGTGGCCCCTTTCCCTCAGCCTCGGGCAGAAAAACTCAGTCCCCGGGCCGGTGGCACTGTCTCTGGGACTGCTACGGGATCTCGCTCTGCTGGTCCTTTCCTGAGCGCACGTGTGTTCGCGTCCTCGGCGAGTGCATGGATCTATGCAAGAGTGTATGTTGGTGCGCCTGTGTGAGTTTCCCTGTCCCTTTGCTATTTAGGTTTCGCCTGCGCTCCATAGAGTGCGGAGCCCTTCCTCATCCCAATCCCGTTTCTCAAAATGGGGAAAGTTCTCTCCAGAGCGAGGATGTGCGGGAGGCCGGAGTTCCTGCACCCCGTTCCACCCCACCACTCACCCAGCGTCACCTGCGCCGCTGCTCCCACTTTGGCCGGGCTCCGGCTCCAGCGTGCCTACTTCCTCGCTGCGAGAGAACTCTGGATCTCCAGCCCTCTCCGGGCTCCCGGCTCCGCGCTCCCGGCTCCCGCCAGGCCGGACCTGGAAGAGTGGGGCGGGGCGGCTGAAGCCGCGCCCCCCCACCCAGAGAGGGGAGTGGTCTGCCCCGCACCCCCAACAACCAACCTAGTACCAACCCAAAAGTAGTCCGACCCAGTACCCAGCCCAAAAGAGGCCTGACGGTGGTCTAAGCTCTGGCCTTTTGACTGCACAGCATACTGACTTTTGACCTAGGGGGGAGAACAGATATGACCGACGGCTAAGCTACCTGGCTGCCTTAACTAAAGCCATAAAGCTTTTCTCTGTCACCTCTCCTGCTCCGTAGGGAACTCAATCTGGTCCACTCTGCCCACAACCAGAAGAGGGAAAATCCCTGTGAGGCAGACAAAGAACTCTCGGGTTTCATAAACCTTCCCCCCACACAAACTCACACTTACACACACGCCCACGCACACCGGGGCTTTCTGAGACTGTCCTAGCAGAAATAGCCCTCTTCTCTGGAGTAGTTATCAAACCAGGTGAGAAAACTGCTTGTGTTGGCCCCCTATAGGGCATGGCTAGGCTTCCCTGAGACTCCTAAGGTCCACCCACAGGCACAAACAGGAAGTTGGCCTGTGTTTCAGGGAGGTACCAATGGCTGCCTTCCTCCCTGGCACACCAGGTACACTGTAGAAAGGCTTAACTTTAAAGTTATCTGAGCTGTACCCACTGACTGTGTAGTTGGACTGCAGGAGACCAAGGTGAGTTTGGTCTCCTCTCCAACCCACCCCCAGTAACAGCTGCTGAAGACCTAAAGCTGCCCCTCCTGACAGCCATGCCACAGCTACAGTTCTAATTTGACCCTTCTGAGCCAGACCTGTCCAGGTCTCTGGGACATTCTTAAGTCAACTAAACACAGAATCACATGTCTCCTCCCAGGTGATTTGCCTCAAGCCGCTTTCTTTGAGTGTGTGGATAGAAAGTGGCTCCTCGGGACTTTACACGCAGGACATAGGGACTGACCTCTTCCTGCCTTCTAGGCTCCAACAGCTCCTGAACAGACCTGGTGTCAGCTCTCGCTGTGGGGAGTTTGAGGCAGGTATGGAGTGGAATGTGTTTGTGTACCGGGTGTGTTAGCTTCCCCTCCTCCTCCTCATCATTCTGGTTTGAGCTGTGTGGGGGTGTCTGCTTGGAGGGTGGAGCAAGTCAAACAGGCAAATGTGTATCTGTTTCTCCTTGCTGATTGTGCAGCCCGCACAAGCTCCTAAGTGAAGGGTTTTGAGAGCAAATCAGGCATTCTAGGACGAGCAGACTATGGAGTCCATGCCCTTAAGAGGTACAAATGGTCCCGTTCTGTACATCTGGAAGGCATGGCTGATTTAAACATTTCAGACCCTGGATGAGGCCCAGAGCAGCCAACTGCTGGGAATGATTACTGCAGGATTAGAGAGGCCTGGCTCCAGCCAGTCTGGGAGAGACCCCCAAGAAGGCAGACCCTGGAGGAGCTACCCCCAGCCCTAGGTTCTTCCCCACCAACAACAGCTTTGCAAAAATTTGCTTCAGCTTTTTATGGCTAGAGTTCTTAGGAAACCCTGGACTCTTCCCTCTAGTTCTAAAAGCTTCCTCTTGGGTTGACTTGAAAAGGGAGTAAAATTATCTCCCCTATACCTGAAGCAGAGGCTTTCCAGCACCCCCAATCTGAGCATCTTGAAATTGGTACTTCAGGGTATCAGAGGAAATAAGATAAAAAGGTCATTTAGCAATATGCCCGGCAGTCAGTGGGTCACTTCTTCCAGTCCTGTGTAGTGCTCCTTACACTGGGGCATCCACATCCCAACAGACTCCAGAACAGCAAACGTGAAGACAGGGAAGAAAGAAACCTCCAGACTTTGCATTTTTCAACAAATCCCCAGTTCTAGCACACAGGGAGAAATGGGAGGTTTCCAGAGGGAAACGCCGAGGGTAGAGGGTTAGAGACAAGAATAAGCCCACTGTGTTTTTGAAATGGGATTTTAGTAGCCCAAGCTGGCCTTGAATTGTGTAGCTTAGGGGAGCTTTGAACTCCTGATCTTCCTGCCTCTACCTCCCAGGTGCAGGAATTAAAAGCATTCACCACCACACCCAGCTAGGGCTCATTCTTGAGTCTACTCTGAGAGTTGTGAATGGCTCTCAGGAGGAAGGACAGCTGGTATGTGGTCCACTGACCCACACTAGGGGTTAGGAATGTTATGCTGTCCTCAGGTAAGCTAACCCACCACCCTGTCTCCCTATGCCTAGGGAAGGTCTATGTTTAGGGGTGGAATGTGAAGATCCTGTACTTCTCCCTGCTGGAAGTGGGCCGGGAAAGGCTAAAGTGGGGGAAAGATCTGTTCTGAGAGGAAATCGAGTTAGTTTGGGGAGACATCTGGTGGACAAAGGAAAAAAGGCACGGAAACAAAGACAACTGAAATGTTTCATTCAATCTGGAGAAGGCTCCAGAGTCCTTACTCCAGCTGTCGGAGGCAGCACACAATGGAGTCAGTATCCAGGGGGTAGGCACCGAGGGCTCACAGAACTTTCCATGGTTCTACTGTGATACAGTCCACTGGGAGGAAGCTCCCATCTTTGAGGCCGAG